TTCAACTGTCTGATTAATGCATTTTTTCTCATCTTGTCCTGATTGATTTTATAAGGAGCAAAAGTATGTTTCAAGTTTTTGTTCGCAGCTTTAAGATCATGTATTTGTTTGTACAAATCTTGCACAACTTTTTTGTTCTCAGTATCCAATGCGATGTTAATTTTTCTCAGTTTAGGGCAGTTCTCACAATCTTTCTTTAATTTTTTAGCTGGACTATGGGATGTGCTGACAGTCTGTTCTTTTATTTCCTTAGATTTTTCTGCTCTCTTGCCTTTAGGTATAGGTGCTTCAAAAACTTTGTCAAGTAGGGCCACAATAGAACACCAATTAGAAGGTCTATGAATGTTTTTCTTCTTTGTTGAGAGTTCTGCAAACATTTTTTTAACCTTGTTGGCAATAACTAATCCACTGAGTTCTTGATTCATCAGAACATCTAGTATGAAGGCAGATGTAGCTGACATATTTTTGTTACAGTTGTAGTAAAAATACAAAATATGGCCATTCTTCAATTCATTTCCTTGGCTGTAGTCTTTGTAGGTGCTGATAAGTTGATCAAAATCCTTCAAAGTCCTTGTACTTTGAGCAAAGTCAGCAGTTTCCTCCACAACAGCATTAGTTAGTTGCTCAACATGCTCCATTTTCTGGAAATTTAGACTTAAAACACAATGTTAACAAAGCAAAAAAAAACAAGATTTACTGTTATGATGAATATAAGTTATAACAGAGAAACGAAATCTAACAAAAGAGGTGTAAATAAAAAAATATTAACAATACTTTTAATTTAATCAATATTATTAATACAAAATGAATCTAGAATATAGAAGAATCGATGTCCAATTTAGATTTGGTTTAGCTCTAAACTTTAACTAAGATGCTGAAAATTTACTTTTAAAAACTATCAAAACTGATGTAACAGCACAACTGTTCAATTAAAAGTTAAATGTAGATCTTATAATGATCTAGAATCTAGATAGATCTACTACTAAAGACTAAAAGTATATAAAGAAATTGCGTTAGTAATAATGTAAAACAAAAAAAAATGTTAGTTGAATAACAAAACTAGTTACAAGAATAATAGTTTTTCAAATGAAAGAAAAAACAGGCAATTGGAATTCAATTGAGACAAATAGTATTAGTATTAATATCTTAATTATAATTAATTAAAACTAATATCAAATGATTAAAATTCAAGAAAATCTAAAACAAAGACCACACTACTACGTTTTTTACTTTTAAACGCGAGTGCGGAAAAAACTTAGAACTGGGGCAAATGGCTTTTAACAAAAAAAACTGTGTTAAACACAATAAAAACACAAAAAAAAAAACGAAATTTAAGAAAGAAAATGGATAATATATAAAAAATCTAGCTATAAAACATCAATTATTGAATAAATAGAGTGGATGATCGTAGATTGCAAGTAATTAATGCAAAGCATAAAAAACAAGCGAAAGTGTCAATCGTAAGATCTGGCAACTTCCGGTTAAAAAATTAAGGAATTTCAACTTTTATAAAGTTACTTCCGGTTCTACTTTCACTTTGAAAATGTAAACAATAGATGCCCCAAACAGTACACCTAACTGTGAAGCGTTTTTCAGCTGAGAGACACATCCAAACAATACGATTTTTAAAAGAGATAGACAAAAATGGATAAGAATGGAGATTTTGCAATAAAATTTCAAGTAGAGCCCATAGAGAAGTTTAGGGAATAAATCAAACTTACCTTATTTTCAATGAAACACTCCATAAAAAATAGTCCATGAAAATATTTTTAAAAAATATATAACACGCTAAGTCCATTTTTCTTCAAAAAAATACTCCTCGCAATAAAATTGACCAGGCGAAAACGGAGAATGATAAAAATTACGAAACACTCGCACTCGCGCGTCCGCCAACTCTCGGTATTTGGGTAACGGGAGGAAAATCTCGCCGCGCATCGTAAAACGGGAGCCTAATCCTAGTACCTAGTTTATAGCTACATTTCTATTTATTTTCATCAAGCCTAAGTTAAAACCGGATGTTTCACTTTCGTAAGACAAATATTGATTGGCTGTACAGTAACTTAGTGATCGATAACTATTTGTTTACAAAACTTTGCAGATCAAGTTTTTAAATAACAATGCAAATTAAAAACCCCATGACCTAGTTTTCTATTTTTAGCTTACAATGTGTACAATAAAATCAATGTCGGCCTATCCAATAGCAGGATGCCATTGTTTATGTCCCCATTACACGTGAAAACCAAATTGTTTTGGCTTGTTTTTAAATTTTCAATTAGTTACCGAAAATTTTTAAAACATCTAATAGACCCAATCTTTAGTAAAGTCCGAAATAAACCAGACAGACAGGATTTTATAACCATATTAATTGTAACTACGCCGTGCCTGATTTTTAAACTAATTTATACACCTCTCAAATACCTTTGAGAGTTTTCTCGCTCGTGTCCATTCACTGTGCAAGTCAGTGTGAGTGTTTCTTCCACTTCCCAACGTCTTTCTCGGGGGGAGGGGGGGGGGGGCGGTTACTGTTAAAGTACATATTTTCTACATAAATTATAAATTCCATTTCGGGGGGGGGGTAGACTTTCTTCAGGGTAGCGCTGCCCCCCCCCCGTCCCCCCCCCCCCCCCCCCCCCCCCCCCCCCCGAAGTGATGCCTGGAAGAAACTCTGGTGCAAGTGTCAACTGAGGCTGAGTTGTTATTCACGATTGGGTTGGTAAATATTAGTAAATAAAACTTAAGAATTAAATTTAGGTAGATCTAGAATAAAAATTCTAGATTCTATCATTCTTATTTCTAGATCTACGTAACAAATCTGTCCAACGAAAACCACACAATCATATTATATTATTATATACTTCGCCTAGATAACCCTTCAGGCAGGCTAGGGGAGGGGGCATCTCAACGAACCGGATAAAGAAGGTAGGGCTTGCAATCCTACCCATGAATAAAAGTTAAAAAAAAAACCAACGTTGATACAGAAAATGCACACACATCAGCAACGTAGGGAGGGCGGGGCGGGGGGGTGCGAACCGCACCGTTTGACACCGTGGCAAAAAATTGCAAAATGTATAGAAGAAAAATGCTTTTTTGCCAGTTCCATTGATGATTAAAGTTGAATAGTCGGGAGAATTTTTATACCAGTGTCGGATAATGGAATCTTCTTTTAAAAAGGGGTGTTAGGTTACTGGTAGTTAACTAAATACACACAAGGCTGGCTAATGTCAATGCTAACCCTGTCCCTAACCCCAACCTTGGTCCTACCATATTCCTAACCCTAATTTCTAGCCATAAAATTAGTCAAGATTACAATACTACTAACAACCCAACACACCTATTTTAAGGAAGAGTATTATCGAACATTGGTGTCTAAAATCATCCAAATAGTCTTTTAAGTACAAACCCACAATTATTACAAGAAGGAGGGGGTGACATCATGACGTTAAAATGCTAACTATAGAGAAAACAATGGTACATACAACTGTATAATAATCAACAAACTATAGATAAACATCGTTTCTATTAAGTCTGCAGTGATTAAAGCTTATAACACATACATCTACGCGTATGAGGCATATATTTAAATTTTAGGCCTATGTAGGCAGACACACACACACATATATATAAATATATATATATACTTTGTTTCTTGGTTGGGTTGACACCACAAAGTGCAGCACCAGGTGACACCCGACCTAGCGACACCAGTGACCCACATTATTTATATTATTAAGTTAATATAAAAATAAATGTGGTTATTATACTAATACTATTATGACTACATTGATTTTAGGCTACGGATTCACTACATATAGCCCCCAGAAGGCTATTCGACTATTCGTACTCTAACTAATCATTTTTCTGTGATTCTTTGATCCCCCTATTTCTGCAATATGGAGAAGTAATGTTTTTAGATCTAACCTTATCATTAACCCTAAGCTTAAGTTAAGCCTTAACCTTAATGCCTAATCTTAATCTTAATGCCTAACCTTAACGTACCCTAAACTTGACCTTGAAGCCGAACCCCTAGCAAAATAAAAACTCTGAGCCAAAAGGAATGGAACCCACACCGCGAAAACAAACTACCTGATTGACAAACACTTTGACCACTCATACATTTGTAAAATTGTTGAAAAGTCGAGTGTCATATGCAAGATATTAAAAAAAAGACATGTATGCATGCACTGGACAATAAATTTAAAAATAAATTTGGTCTGCTAAAAATAGCAAACTACGAATAGCCTTCTGAGAGCTATTTGTAGTTAACTACAAATAGACACTTTCTTATTTTAATACCACTGCAAATTAGTTAAAATATAGGCCTAATGTACCTTTCGAGAAATGTGTTGATGTGCTGGGTTGACCATGAACTTTGAAAATTTTAAGTTTAAAGCTTATTTTTGTGTTGTTATAACATAATAAATAACACCACCGCCAGAAAATTTAAAATTCATTGAATCTATGTGATGGTTTTCACAGCACCAGAAATATGCTAAAGATTTATCACTTTCACTTTCTATGTATTGATTTTGAGTACTACCTTGTTTAAAGTGATTCTTGTCTTATTGATTTGATGACAATTAATTATTTGATTTAATACCATTATTTATTGTTATTTATTAGGCCTAATATATTAAATTTTATATTAGCTTAAGGCCTAGGCCTACATAACTATTTAGTAATTAGTCAACTAAGTACAGGGACTGGTATTTCTCACATGACAAAAAAAAGAATGCAAGGAGGCTATCATGTACATTACACAGCTCACTGCATGTTTTTTAGGTCATAAGAGTAAGGAGATAAACAGCTGATATTTTGAGTCATGCATTGAATGTGGTATGAAAGAAAAGGCCAAAGGGGCATTGTTGGGCTTGAAACATGATATTTATCTAAATGAGTATGTAGGTATGACTTAATTAGCTTAATAAAATGCTTCGTTTAAATATATTTTAGTGTGGCTAGACTGAAACTCCATTGTAATTTTCTCTCTACACTTTTCTTAGATACATAATATGTTGCTGTGGCGACAGTTTAAAAGTTTTCAACACCACTAATGGAGAGCTGTTACATAACCTCAGAGGTCACACAAAAGCTGTCACTGGAGTGGTATTGAATCCTAGTAATGTCTTGCAGGTATTTAGCACACATCTGTTTTTTATATTTTAGATCTGTAAATTAAAAAGTTGTGCTTGAAATTTTGAGCAAATCTTTTTATAAAATGATTTATAAGTTGTGATGTAAGTTAAGTGGCAAGACATAAATTTTATAATTAACATAGTAATGTACAACTTATCCACAGATATTTTCCTGTGGTCAAGATGGTTTGCTGATTTCATGGGACTACCTTGATGGCGTGAGACTGAAGGTCGGGAAAACTCCTAAAATTTAGCTTTTAGAGTATACTGTAGGGTTAAGCTATTAAAACTGGCTACGTTATTGTGGGTCCTGTGTTTCAAAATTTTTATCTGTAATTTAATTTTTATTTACAGTGCTATTTGCTAAACTTGGTTAATGTCTGATAATGAATTATTTATATAAATTTCTCAGCAATATAATCTACATATGGCTTTGTATGGAATTATCTCAATCAATGCTGACAAAAAGTCTATCATGATGCTAAGTCAGACCACTGAGCATAAAAAAAGTAAGTATCTTTTTTAGAACTTTATATAGTAAGCTGAGTGTGGTCTCTTTAATCATTGTTTAGATTATGTTTAGCATCAACCTCAATGAGCTTTAAGAGACCTTTTAGATGTGAACCAATCAGATCAAGCTTGTCTGTTATTTTGTCACTATAGGCTCTAAATGAATTGAATCTTTCTTTCCCCGAATAATATTAACTTTTCTTTGAAACAAATAGCTTTATCACTGATAGAAGCAAATATTATTTGGATTTTTTTAAACAGATAACAATCATGTGTAAAATCTGCAAGTTACATTTTAATTAATATCATTCAGGCTCACTAGGTAGGGAAATTAGTATCAGTGCAAATTATTGCATGAATTTGTTTTACATGATACTGTTCCTTAGTGAAGTTTAATTGGTATCTATATGGCTACATATAAGTAAGGGAGGTAAAAAAAGTTTTTAGATGAAGTTCAGAGTAAGTTTTTGGTTTCAATTTCATTATTTTCTGTTTGTACCTTATTTTCTTAGTTCATCACAATTACAGTTAACACAGCCTTAGAAATTTGCTACACTTAATTCTGATTGAGAAATGAAACATGTATTTAACAGCAATGTATCAAGTTATTGATGGTTTTTTCTTGGCATTTTATTCATGTTACTTACTTTTGTGCATGTGCCTCTCAATACATTAAAATGTTGATGATTCTACTCTAGTTAAAACTAATCTTGGATGGCACAGATAATGTTTAACCATGTTTTTAACCCTTCCCCCACAGCATTCAGTCTTATGCAGTGGAAGAAGAAAAAAACCAGTAATGATTATTCAAAACCCAAGATGATTATTGAGAAATGTGATGGAGACCCAAGATTAGTTTCGTTTGGGTGTTTAGTAAGTATCAGGTTAAAAGCAAATAGTTTGATTGTACTCTTTGCAGTTTATGCATACTTACAAGTTAGAAATTTTTTGTGTTCAGTATATAATATTTGAAAGTTATGTTCTGTGACAAGATTATATTGGAAATAAAAATAATTTTGATAATTTTAAAGAAAACAGCTTTTTATTTTATAATGTTAAATAATACTAAACTAGGCAAGCCGCATATTCATCTTCTGTAACTAAAGGGCACTGTGTATAGTGAGATAAAAAATTAACTACTTTTCAGAGAGAATATGTGGCGTCAGGACTTAAGCACACACTGGCAATTTACTCTATGAAAAAAGGATCGACAAAATTGTAAGTAATTTATCTATTATATTTCTATGTTAATAATTGCTGCTAATTAATTTTTACACCAAATAATTAATTGTTTTGTTGAAATTTAATAAATAAGAATTCAACTAATATTTATAAATTTTGCTTAATTTTTTAGTGATAATCCAACAAAAATTAAGGAAAACTTTTTTATATAATTTACTATTTTCAAATTCAACAAAAATAAAGCTATAGGGCATATATTTCTTTAGTGTAAGTGACCATGACAAGTTCAACAAAAACAAAGCAATAACTTGTGTGGCCTGTCACCCAACTGAGTATTGTATAGCAACTGGTTTGGAAAATGGAAAAATTCTCCTGTGGTAAAAAAAATAAAAAATTTTGTTAAATTTTTAACATACATATTTCTATTTTATCTAGATTTGCATTTTTTCAATCAGATAGTAATCAGTTTTAGTATTTCCTTTTGTGTGTTAATACATTTTTAGTTGTATTTTTTCATAAATATGGATTTAATGTGGATGTATCACTGGTTATCCATTATAGACAGGAAAACTTATGTTTATAAATTTATTATTACAGGAACAATTTTTTCAAAGACAGTCATCCTGTTATTTCTGTTATGCACTGGCACAGCCTACCCGTCTCATGCATTGAATTTACGCCTAATGGTAATTTTCTTTAATATAAATATTTATTTTCAATTAAATTGTGTTATAGTTTTTGCCTGTTTATAATAATATAATTTAATTTTAGGTATATTTTCATGTAAGATTGGGTTTTTTTCTTCATTGGTTTTTAAATATACTTAAATTTGCATATAAATGTTTTTTTTTGTTTGTATCAATCACTAGTCTGATAATCTTGTGTTTAACAGGTTCAAACCTGCTGAGTGGTGGATTTGAATGTGTGCTAGTGAGGTGGCAGATGGGCAACCCAAACATATAAATGTTTTTTTTTGTTTGTATCAATCACTAGTCTGATAATCTTGTGTTTAACAGGTTCAAACCTGCTGAGTGGTGGATTTGAATGTGTGCTAGTGAGGTGGCAGATGGGCAACCCAAACCAACGGGATTACAAGCCACGCATGGGCGCTCCAGTCTCTGAGATTATCATCTCACCTGATGGAAATTTCTTTGCAACAAGACATGCTGACAATTGTATGTTGTGATTGATTTCTCTATCAGATAGTGTTTTAAAGACAAATATTTTTAATGGCAGTTTGGATCATCCAAGTTAATGAAAATCTTATTTCCCATGCTTATTATCATTTATTTATGATAAATAAAATTTAAATTTGCATAATACAAACAGCATTCATTTACAAGACTGCTAGTTTGTGCTTCTAGTTTTTTGATGGTTAAAATATTTTTAAATAGTTAATTTTATAAACTAAAATGTACTAAGAAACAGATAACCCACTCTCTCCTAAAGATAAAATATTTTTTTACTAATATAAAGTCTAATTGATTTATTTCTTCTTTTTTTTTCCCCTTAAAGCAATCCAGTTACTTGACATAAATCTTAAAGTGCTGCAAGTTTACAGAGGAATGACCAGAACAAATTTTTGTAGAACTGTTGATAAGTCACCCATCTCGAGTGGGCTGAAGTATGACCCTAGGTCTAGGACTATTGTGACCAACGGTTTACCTGGGCATTTACAGTTTTTTTCTCTGTCTTTAAACAAGCAACTTTTTAATGTAAGTGGAAAATTTAAAAATTTAAACCCCCCCCACTCTTTTTTTTATTTATAAAATATTATATTTAACTTTATCAGCTTTAGCACAATCTATTTAGATAATTCTCACAACTACTAGAAAAGGGCAGTAACTTCATAAGCAGATTTTTTTTTCCAGCTTGATATCGTAGGTCAAAATTACATCTCCCCTGAAAACCTTGACCAGCCTAAAGCCATCACAGAGATAATCTGTACAGCAATTTCTGGAGATGGTCAGTGGTTGGCAACATTTGAGATGTGGGATGACGGTCACTTCACGCCAGAGCTCAGACTTAAATTTTGGTCTTATAGTTCAGAAGCTCAAACGTAATTTTAATTTTTTTTCCTTTGAATTTTTAGATTTATAATTTGCGAATTCAAAATTAAAGTTAAGTTTTCAGTTATAGGTTTTGTAAACCTTTATCAGTGATTTTATTTAATTTTTCAATTTGTTTTTACAAATGTTTAATAGCGTTTACTTTTTTCCAGATATTCACTGAATACAACTGTTGAATACCCACATGATCAAAAAATTACTAGCATGTTATTTCGACCAGTAACACATAAAAAATCTGGATTTGATTCTCCATCTCTTGTTTCTGTGGGTGAAGATCAGTGCTTTAAGATTTGGACATTGGTGGATGATTCAGATATATACAGTAGGGTTATTTGTTTTATTTAAAAAATAGTTTTTGCTAATTTATTTTGCAGAATTTTTTTTTAAAAAGTAAGATTAATTTTTTTACTGAACAATTCAATATTATGTCAAGAATCAACACATCACTATTTAAAAATTGTTTTTGCTAATTTATTTTGCAGAAATTTTTTTTTTTAAGTGAGATTAATTTTTTTTACTGAACAATTTAATATTATTTCAGGAATCAACACACGGTGGAACTGCGAGTCAGTTGGGTTTTATCGAGGCTTGAACGTTCATTGTGCAGATTATTCTACTGATGGCTCAACTTTGGCTGTAGGGTTTGAGCATCTTATCACAATTTGGGATCCTGATACAAGTGTTGTTCACACAACGCTCTCCAACTGTTTAAATGAGAGAGATCCTATTACGTAAGAACTATTAATACATTTTTTATTACGTTGTACGTTTCAGTATAGTAAACAAATGTTCAAATCATCTAATTATGTACTTTTACTTTTAAATGTTTACATTACTGTTGCAGTCACTTAAAGTTTGGAAGCCATGGTAGCTGCCATCATTTGATATCTGCGTCTGCAAAAAAATTGATATCCAGGGATCTCTTAACATTGACAGGTGAGAAATACCCAGTTTTCAGCTTTTGGAATGGATAAAAAAAACCTGCATACAGTTGCTCTCTCATTCTTAGAAATGTTAATATCTATAAATAATATAATCAAAGTGGGTAGTGTGATATTGTTTTAAAAGTATTTACAAGAAAGAATAAAAGATATGAGCAGTTGCTAATCTTAAATTTAAATAAATATTTATTTAATTGCAAAATTTTTAAAAATGTAATTTTAATTTTTTTTAATATTTGATTTCTATTAAGTGTTAGATTTTATTATTATAAACAGGCTGATTTAACTGATGTTGTAACAATTTACAAATTAAATTTTGAATGACAAGTGATATCTTCCTTTGCCGGAATGTCTTAAAATAATTCTTGTGTTCCACTAGTTCTCTGGGTCATCAAGGATAATGTCACATTGCTGTTCAGGGACCCGTCCTCAGACCTCATGGGATGTGTGTCCAACAGTCAGACATGTAAGTTATCAAGTCTTATGCTGCTTACTCTAGGGCTATTAAAAACTGGATGTTTCTATTCCTATCCCCACCAAACTAAACCTTACTGACATTTTGAACACTCATTAACTTTAATTAATATTTTTATTAAATATAAAAACTGCATAAAGACAAAAAAAATTCTTTACTTTATTTAAAATTTTTTAATCAGACATATGACCAATTCTTTAGTTATGGCATTCAATAATCTCTTTAAAAGAGATTACTAAATGCCTTAATTAAGAGACAGATTTTAGCATTGGAAAAACAACCATGTTAGTCTAAGGATTCTATTTATTACAGTGTGTGTGTTCAGACCAAGCAATGAGGAAATTGTATACAGGCATGAGAACATAAGCTGTGCTGATATTGTTGATGCCATCTTTGTACCTGGGGGCAGACAAGAAGACCTGGCTGATGTGGGCTGGCCTGGCAGTTCCCAGATATATTTGTATAACACAGAACAGCAACTGATCACACTTGATCTAGAACGTAATACACGAGACCACAAGGAAAAGGTGGGGAATATTTTTAAATGATAAACATTGAGGTCTTAAATGATTTTTAGGGACTTTTTAATTGGAGTCTCCATTTATACATTGGGTAGATACAATTAATGGTTTCTTTGATCTTGGCATATTAAGGGGTTGAATGGGGTCAGCTCAATGCTCAATTCCCATTATTATAATTATGCCTATGTTAAATCATGGATGAATCCTGGGACTAAACTTTACATGTAGATTTTAAATGTGCTGTTAAAACAGCATATCTTGCCAAATATTTTCTTTTTTTTACTAGTTTAAAAAAATTGTATTATGTCAGACTGGTTTCTATTTCTTCTTCTATATGTACTTTTCTATATGTAATTAATACTATTTGAGCAGATGATTATTGCACAAAATATACCACAAAGCAACCTTCGATTAATGATGGCTGAGAAACTAGTTAGAGAAACCAAAGCTGTAGAGCACAAGGAAACTGCTGGGAAAACAAAGTTAGCAGAGGACCCTTTTGCTTCATTGGTAAGTTAACAAAACATTTTAGTGTTATTTTTTCTAATTGATGTGTATTCTTACTTAGTACTTTATTAATAGTTACAACACAAAGATTTGTATAATTTGCATTTAAAACCTATTGGTGAAATCAAGTGCCATTTAACAACTGGTTATATTATCGCTGGATATTTTTTCTGCAAATTTATGTTTCTTATGTTCTTTTCCAGTTTCTTCACTCTAATGAACCAGTATCACTGTTCTGTGACCAGTATTTAAATAGTCTACTTGTAAAAAAGTAAGTAATTGAAAATATACATAAATTGTATAGTACTTAACCATTAAGTTTTTATTTAGCTATTAAAATATCAGACTATTAATTTATTTCAATATCTTCAATGTTTTGAGATTTGTTTTCATTTAAGATTTATCAATTTTAGGAAATTAAAACACAAAAAAGAAAAAGATGATAGTGATGACAGTAGCAGTGAGGAAGAATCTTCCAATTCAGAATCAGAGATGCAGGTAGATAAGCGAGAATTCAACAAAACAAAAAGGGCAAGGTTAGATTACGAGAGGACAGAGACCAAGAAAGAAGAGCCAGAAAATGATATGAATAAACTTTTATCCTCCACAACAGACTGGGTCAAATGGTGCTCTTCTTTAAGTTTGAAGTAAAAAAAAAATTTTAAATAAAAAAAATTGGTTAGAAATATTTTTTTAGCTTTTGTTATTCTTCAGCTTGTGTGTTTTTTATAAGTATGTTTTACAATATGCTTGGGCTTCAGTGTCTGTGTTGTTAACTAAAGTTCTAATCAAGTCAGTAATTATTTTTTTGGTAACTTATGTAAAGTTTACTTATGTATTAAACAAATTATTTACATCAAATGAAAGGTAACGCCTATGTTGTGGTATGGTATGACCAGCACCATCATCATCTTCTTCTTTAACAATTTCTTTTTCTTCAACAACTTGACCTCTTGATTGTTTATAGAACATATGCATACAGGTTACTTTCAAAGCATTATTGTGATGTATAGCATTTATTTTCTACTATTTAGTTCAATCAGAAAACGTGGGTTTTTAAAAACTTTTTTAATGATTATTATTATCAGTTTTTTTTACTGTGATACTAATTTTATGTATATTTGTAAATACTAAAACTTGTGGTGACTAATTTCTGTAAAAACAAAAACCTCCCAACTATATAAACAAATTTTAAAAACTTTTTTTTTAATATCAGCATGGATATATAAGGGGAGGGTATACTAGACTATACATGTTACGGTAATTAAAGTTAAAAACGCAACTATACAAAAACAATTGAAAGTCATGTATTTATAGATGGAGATTTTACAAAACTTTTTACAAATATACAGTGTAACAACACAACTTTAGATCTAGATTCTGTATTTCACATTTTTTTTTTAAAGTTATCTGTATTTAAATATATCCTTAATATTTGACCACACTTCTGTCCAATTTATACGATCTTCATTTTTATCTTTGGCTGTGTCCATCTCAGTCAGGGTCAAAACATTACCACTTGCGTCTCTTGGCAGGTATGCCACATGGTTTTCAAGAACATCCTCAACACACTGTTCAGCATTGTAGTGAACCATCTGTCTCTCCATGAAAGGAACAATAAAGTTGTACTTATTAATTTTGAAATTGATTTCCTTAACTTGGTCTCTGAATTTGTCAATGCCGAATTTCCAGCGTAATTCATTTTCATTAAAATAGGGTGGTGGTCCCATTTGCTCTCGTAGTATAGACAGTTTTTCTTTAGCATAGCCTATGTTAACTCTGTAGATTTAAATCTATAAAAATGTTAGCCTTTAAAATAATTGAGACATGTGCATGAAAAACATGATAATTAGTCTCATTCATTCAATTTATATCACATAAGTCTTTGTATGAAAAAAATTCTAAATTTCCTATAAAAGATAGTCTTTTAATTCATTGGTACAAAAAAATTACTTTAAAGGTAATGAGGTATCCACAGTTCCAAGTACAAACAATGCTATTGTATCTACAACTAGTATTCTTAAATAATTTTGATATTGATTAGATAACAATAATTTTCTGCGTATAACATCATAAATATGCTACAATCAATATTGAAAGAAAATCTTGAACTTCTAATCACCTTAGAACTAAAGCAGAAATGATTGTATGTTTACTGCAACAATCCTTGCTTCCCCAAACTAATTTTCAAGTACTCATAAAACGTTGTGCCAAATTTTTCTATTTCCCATTTCTAGATAAAATCCAAATAAATATGAGGGTAAAATTAAAAACACCTGATCTCCTTTGACAGCATGATCCATTCTGGCTTGAAACCATTGTTGACCAAAATTTTGTTGATGTTGTGGGTGGTTGGGTCTATGTAAGGGTTGTAGTCGGACTTTTCCAGTGGTTTCCCACTGCCAGATAAGTTGTCAAAATCTCCTTTCTGCATGGACTCCCTGATCATGTCATCGACTACCCTGTCTATAAAACTACTGCAAACAAAAAAATTTTCTGGGTAAATTTATAAAAGTAATGTAACTATTTTTTAAAGAATGTTTATAACAAAAATACACATTATTTGATAGCCAAATTATTTTTAAAAACAGAAATTATTTTTTTTAAAGTCATTAAACACAACAAATGTGTAATATAATGTGTGAAAATTCATGAAAGAATTATAAATGTATTAAACTACTGTAATAATGAATAGATCATTTGATAGATGAATCTGTGATAATAATGGAAATATTTTAAAAATAACATTCAGCATTGATCCTGATGATTAACTAGCAAATTTTATTCAATAACCATGACCAACAGAAGCTCACCTTATTTTAATTTTTCTTGCTTGTGCCATATCTTTTGTCATCAGAGTGCTCTCACCAGTTCCGTGTTTGCGTTTCCTGTGCTCAAATACAGATTCAGTAGCTTGGGATACACGAACTTGTTTGTATTGACGTTCACGTTTACTGGGGGTACCGAATCCAACTCCCTGATTGATAAAAAATTACTCTAAATTAGAGTTAATTAAAATTTGGAAAACCATTACAAATTTTAATTTTAAATTAAATAATGGTATAAAGACCTTACTTATGTAAAGTTTACTTATGTATTAAACAAATTATTTACATCAAATGAAAGGTAACGCCTATGTTGTGGTATTGTATGACCAGCGCCATCATCATCTTCTTCTTTAACGATTTCTTTTTCTTCAACAACAACTTGACCTCTTTTGTGATTCTACAAAAAAAATTTTACACCACAATGGTAATAGTTAGAATATTTACTTTTTAGTCACTTATCTTTATGAATATAAATATTAGAGAGTACACAAAGCCATTGACTGTTACCATAGCAGTTTTATAAGCATCTTGAATCCTTGCAAACATATTAGCATCTCTGGAATTATTGCTGGTGTCTGGGTGATACAATTTCACCTAATTAAAACATACAAATTAAATTAAATGTTGTCAATTAAAATAAAATAATCATAAAGGATACTAGAAACCCCAGGATAGTTTTTCAGAACTATTTTATTTATTTATTTATAAGTATTATTTACTTGTATTAACTTAAGCAAGAAGTGTTTCTAATTCTATGTAGAAAGAAAAATTACAAAAATATGATTTTTATATCACTGTATCCTTTTCTGCTTTTAGCCCCATTTTTCCACGTAAGTTCTGTATTTCAGCCACCAGAGCCACTTACAATACAAAAATGCTTTTGGTTTTGTTAGGCAATGACTAAATCAAGCATGGGTGATGTAATATGTTTCATGTGTGTGTGTGTGTGGGGGGGGGGTGTGAATTGGGACAGGCACTCCATTTTGTTTATGTCTTTCTGTTAGATCATAATTTATAAAAGTGACAGTGGTTTTGCCCCCCCCCCCCCCTTAACTAACTTAATACTTAATTTCATTTTCAGCGACATAAGGGGAGAGCATTGATCATACTCCGTAGACACACCCGTGGTTTAAGAGCTTAAGCAGATGCCTATATTATTTAGTTATTACATTAAATGAACTAAGTAATAAATTACTTAAATGTTTTTTTCTGCTAGTGAGATCTACAACCTTTTCTAAATACGCCGATCTCAACTCATCTTCTGAGCAGTTGGAGTCCACCTCCAACAAAGCATAGCATTTCTCAACAGTAGATTGCTCTTTAAGTTTCACAGTTGCAAAATGCCTGACATGCGTGTTTGTTGCGGGCAACGGCGAAACTGGAAGAGGGTATATTTGACAGTAGGCGTTCAATGTGGCATACGCCTTTAGTAGTTTCCGAACATATAGCTGAGAGGCAGAACTCATTTTTTAATAAGATTATTTTATTTTCTTGACCTTCAAACTTCGCTGGAAAAAAGTTTATAAAAGGATTAACATTTTATTACATAGGCCTAAGGGGTCATCCATAAATGACGTCACACTCGTAGGGGGGGGGGGTTCCATAATTTTGTGACGATGTGTGATGAGGGGGAGGGGTTCAGATGTTGCGACGTCACACTTTTGCAATATAAAAAAGCAATGTTAGAAAACTAATTTTAGACGTTATTTCGCGTTTTAGATAACTGTTTTAATAAATTGTAATAGAATAGACAAGATTTTAGAAAAATATCGATGTTTAAAAAAAAATTCAACTGCAATTTTGAGGGGGGTTGTAGGTTGAGGTGTGACGTCATTTTAGGGGGGGGGGGTCTGGCTTTTTGTGAAGACGTGTGACGGAGAGGAGGGGGGAGGTAAAAATCGTCCAAAAAAGCGTGACGTCATTTATGGATGACCCCTAATGATGGGTAAAGGTTGTCCATGAATGACGTCACAATTCTGAATTTTGTGACAATGGGGTATAAGAAAGTGGGACGGCAAACTCTTGCATTTTAAAAACCAATGTAAGGAACTGAAATGTAGCCATTAATATACTCTGGCTACAGTTAACCAAGCTCCGAAAATATCGGAGAAGGAAATATATACTGCAATGTAGGAGGTGGGAGGTAGACTGGAGAGGGGGTCTACTCGGTCTAGTTTGGCTTTTTTGGTGACGATGGGAAGGGGGAGGTAAAAATCGACAAAACATTGTATCACCATTTATGGATAATCCCCCCCCCCTTTTTATCCAAAGGAGTAGGGGTCGAATAATGCCTATACAACACATTACTACAGCCAGTAATAGTCAATTTAAACTAATGACCTTCAAGCGTTTTAAATTTAGCTGACCCTTTGTTAACCTCCATTGTCGCATTACAATTTACATTCTACATGCGTTAGTCATTGTACTCAAATATTTTAAACTTCACCCCAGAAGAAAAAAATATCTAGGCCTGTTTAAATATATTATCAGTATTTAGAATTATGTTTATCATAATCTGCAATCAGCTTATCAAACTAAGTCTAGTCACACTATAGTGACACCCCCGCGTCGATCAAGAATCCGCGAAGTAAATGAAGTAGCCCTACACTTAGACGTCAGTACTGGTCTTTTAATAAACAATGCGTTTTTAAGTAGGTAGGCATACTGTTTCTATTACTTAATAAAATCAAAAGTAAACACAATGAAAACAGACGTCCTGACACTACTCCTATAAATATAGGCCTACACATTACTTGCGAAGTCTATAATAATTGTATATATATATATATATATATATATATATATATATATATATATATATATATATATATATATATATATATATATATATAAGGCCCTTTAGCCTATTTATAGACTTAGTTTTGTTGGCCTATATAAAACAATAGACCTTGTGTAAATAAATCGCATTAAGACTCGTGTATCCATTGAAAATACATTTTCAGGCGTAGGCCAACATGTTAATGATCATATTTGGCTTTGTACTATGTGGTAAGAAATGACAAATTCTCAATTACCCCCCCCCCCCCCCCCCCCCCCCAAAAAAAAAAACAACAACAACAACAACAAACAACCCCGTCTCCTCTTAAGTGTAAATTACTTATATATATATATATATATATATATATATATATGCTACATAATATACGGTAATGAATATGATTAAAAGTGGGTCAGTATAATAGTATGTATAATAATGTTTGCCATAATATATGCATTAAATAAAGAAGAAAAGATTTTATTACCTGATTGTCGCTGGAGCTTATTCCACGTATTTTAAAACAACCCACTGTCAGATTAGTATGAAACTCAGGCGATTATGTCTTACGTCTAGGCATATCATAAATGCAGTCATGTAATAACATGGTTTCGAAAAATAATCGTGACTAATCTTGTCAAAGTCATGTTAGACTGCACTGGAAACAAACTAGATCTAGAATCTAGAGTCTTGTTGTTATTGTTAAAATAGACCATCTGATTTGGTAAAAAGTCCATCGTATTTAATGTTGAATTGTATCAAACTAATATGAGTTATACTTTTATATGTTAATTTACTGTTATTTACAGATTTTAAGAAGGGTTGGTTGGATATTATAATTATTAGATTTGTTAAGTTTTTCAGCATCATCAAATAGAGCTAAATGTCTGTCTGCACAGAATGCTAGGCTAACAGCCACTAACTAATACCTGGCTATACCGCATACTCTACGTTGACCCACATACTTAGAAATCAATGTTGACATAGAAAGCGTAGTAATAAATTTAAAAAGCAATATTTATTTGAAGTAATTAAAATGATATGAAAAGTACATTCTCAATTAATGTAAGATATAGTAGTACAATTATTTTGGTAGCGACAAGTTTTAAAGGTATTATAAAAACAACGCAGTTTAATATATTTTTTGTTCTTTTTTGTGGTGACTTCCGGCAGATCACACATATTAAGCGCAAACAAGCGTAATGTTGTGATGTTGAATGTTGATGAAAGCAAGGACAGGGAAGTTATTGTCACTACATTGCTACTCAGCGGTAAGTACTTAAAATAATATTAGTGCCGTTTGTTAAATAAAATCATATATTTATACAAGTTACTTATGCTTGCCACTAAATGTATAATGTAATCGCTTATTTACATTCCTCTGTAACTCGCAGTAACAGGTAAAACAAACCCAATGAAAAGATTTCGAAAATCTAGGATTCTACGATTTTAGTTTATTTTTTACGAAATTTCCGTACTGAGTACCCAATCCTCACGGTCACTGCTTATTAAGCACACGATGTGCTGTAAATTTTGAATACGGTAGCTATAGAAATCTGCACCTAATTTTAAGTAACTATATTTTCCTGAAAATTGAGTGCTATGGCCTAAACTCGGAAATAACACTTGAATCTGAGCAATTCAGAGGGAAATGATGACATCGTTCAGAAGAGATTAGGACTAGGCTAATATAAAATATTTTTCCTTCATTTGACCCTACCAAGTGCCATTAGCCGCTTTGGGGCATTAAAAATATTATTCTAGCACCAGTCATATCTGCATTTTAGAAAATAAAATTGGGCCTCATTGTTTTTGGGTTTTATTGAATAGGCCGTAGCTAGGCTAATTAACCAATTACTTTAATTAGTAATTAGGCCCTAAGCCCTAAAATCTGAGGCCTATTTGTAGTATTTAGTATTTATTCAGTTTGCCTAATGCATGTCCTAGTCTACTTTTGATTAAAATTTGTCTTGCTATTTTACAATTTAGGCTACTAAAAATAAGGCTTGACTATGTTTTTAGTAGAGTAGGCCTATACACTTGGATAACTATTATGCTATACTAGTATTATAGAACTAAATTTAAAAGCTAACCTTGCCAAAGGCAAGCTTTCAAATCAATGAATATGCCAACAAGTAAGCTAGGCTTACTTAATGTACATAAGAAACAAGTATTTGGTTAGGCCTAAGCATATCAAATAGTTTTAACTACTGTAATATATAGGCCTAGGCCTTACAAGATCTTGTATTTAATATTAAGAATTAAATGTTGTGTAGATTTCCATTCTATGTAAGCCTAATGTTGCCTCTTGTTTGTATTTTAAAAATCATTTTATGGAATGGATACTTAACAGTTCCTTAAGTTAAACATAGTGCATTATTATAAAGTGTTAAATGTTCAAAGTGTTTCAGTCTGCTCCTTATTCTACTTGCTTGCAAATTTTAATTGAACTTTTTTTTCATTACAGGTTGTGGGTCAAGAATGTTGTGGTTCACAACTGCAGCCAAAGGCAGGTGCAGCACTTATAGATTAGATGGTACACAATAAATTTTCCTTTGCATTATGAATACTGCAAAGGAAACATGTGTAAGTACATTTTTTATGGGTTTATTTTTGTGTGTGCCCATACTCTTCATCTGTTTGAAATAGAAATTATTCATGTTCATCTTTCCTTAGTCTACTCACAAAAAAGAATATTGAAATTTAAAGTTCCAGCACCTCTGTTGGAGGGATGAATGTCTCAATGAACTAATACTAAGTAATAGTTATCACCAGACACAGGTGCATGAGATTATTCACCCTTCATTAATTGTCATGTCGCCTTCTCATCTGTACATGTGGCATCTCTCATGGAGTCTAACTAGTGGTTCATTAAACTGCTTTTAAATTCAGATTAATTGAGGCCCACTTGGGATGGAAATCTAGAGAGGGAAAGAAGAGGTGAGCTGTGAGGAGTGACCATGAAGCCACCTTTGACTGTGGAGGCAAAGGTGGCAGAGGAACTTCGTAATTGGTTAGCTTCTGAGCTGGAGCAACTCGATGCTTCCAATACCAAGTGAGTTCATACCGGAAGCGTGGCCTGTATTACAACCCTTTATTATTGCCCTTTGTGTGTTTGTTTAAATAAAATGTCATAGAGAGGAAACTAGGCACACAATCTTTGGCATTTTGGTAAGCTGCTAAGGTGTCTGTGAATTGAGTTATTATTTTTTATTTGCAAAATACTTTTTCCCAGACACACCTATATTGTTTACAAGTTGTATTTGAAATCAGATATTATTACTGATTTGCAAAATGTTTTTTGAAATATTTTTTTTTATTAATGCCTTATTTGAAGTAAGTAAATAACGTTTCTTTATTATGTTACCATTCAGCTGAATAGTACACTATTCTTAGATAATGAGCTTATTGTTTAGTGGAATAACTAATATTGAAATACTTACACATTACAGCCAGTTTGCACATCACGTGGTGACCATACTATTGCATGAGGATCTTGATATAGAAGATGAGCCGCTTACTGCTGGAGATGATTTCTTTCATGATATTTACAACATCAGGAAAGGGAAAACTCGAGACAGGCAGAAGAAGGCTGCTGTTCAGTTTCTGAGAAGTGCTGTATGCTGTGTAAGTTGAGATTTAAAAATTTTTTTTTTAAATATTTGCACGATTTCTCATGCTGACAGACATTAAGATTTAAAAATGTACCCTTTATCTAAATCAATAATTTAAAAAAAAACAACCTTTTGCATTGTAAGCCTTTGATTATTGATTTTTGGAAATGAGATCATCAATATCCAGATTATATAATACTAAATTTAAAAAAAATTATTTATCAGTTCGAAAAATTTAATTAAAGTAATCCTTTAGTAAAAATAAGGACCAACACCCTTTTAAAACGTTTTTACCACCAAGATAACACTTATAATATTGTTAATTTACTATTTTTGTAGGATGAATCTGATGAAGCAGAAATCCAAGAAGTTGTTGAAGAACTGATGGTAAAAATTGATGAAACCAAAAACAAAATGAATAACAAGAGAGCATCGAAAAGGAGTAAGTAACATTATAATGGTTAAAAAAAAATTGAAATCCTTTAACAATCTTTTGTTCTTAAGTTGACTCAGTGTGAGTTGGTTATAGCAAGTATCAGGTATTTTTTCTAGCAAAATGTTGAGTTGTTTAGATACACCTATTTGCACTGTTGTAACACCAAACATGAGCTAATAGAAGAATTTGATTATGTTTAGGCTTGCTTGCCCCAATTGCAATCAATGTTACTGCAGCAGCCAGCCAGACATGTGCAAAAAGTGATGGTAGTGAAGAAGAGAGGTATGTACATTTTTTGGAACAATATTTCTTAGACCTAATGGATGAATTAGGAATGGTAGGGCGCTAGACTGCTAACCTTAAAGTCTCACATTCGAATCTGGGTTCAAGTCATTAGAACGTCCCTGCTTCCACCCAGCTCTGGAGAGTACCTAACTCGTGTTTTTAGGGAAAGTAAAGGCGGCTGGACATAGTGCTGATCACACTATCCCTTCATGTGGTGAGGTCACAGAAACAGGTGAACTCAACTTCACTTGCCCCATGAACCAAAGGTTTGAAATGGGAACTTTACTTTTACGGATAAATGAGCAAAGACATAGATTCTTTGGTGTCCCACTCATTACATGGTGCAGTTCTGACATTCACATTATGTTGGGATTTTCAAGTCTTTGTGTATGCTTGTGAAATCCAAATATATTTTTATAGAGAAAAATGAAAATGCTTTACACAAAACAAAAAAAAATATTACATTAATAAGCATTGCTGGATTTATCTAATAAGATATTATCATATATAGATCGTTCTTGCATTGATAAGGGTTGTCCATTTTTATGTCACCTACTGGGGAGGTGGGATTTGACTGACTTAAGTTGTTTGCTCAATGTGAGGATTTATTTCTTTAAAAAAAACATAGACAGCATGTTATTATGGGCTATCACTTCATTTCCTCTTTACTCAAAATATGTTTCTGCATAAAATTAACATGCCCATATTATCTGGATGCCATATTTATCTAGGTTTTTTTTTTTATTATGGGCTATCACTTCATTTCCTCTTTACTCAAAGTGTGTTTCTGCATAACATGCCCAGATAATCTTGATGCCATACCTATTTGGGTTTTTTTTTATTATGAAAGAGTTCCTTTATGAATTAAACAGATGAGATATGACAGCAGCTGTCCTTGAATTGCACAATAAGTTATAGAAGAGTTTCACATATAAAGCTCTAATATATCAAAATATTTTCCCTTTGCTTATTTTAGTGTTTGCATGCTGAAGATTAAATGTTCATGCAACTGTTCAATTTCTTTGCTATGCTATACTTAAAAAAGCTTCAGTCTGTTTATACTAAATGGGTGCTAATATACACAATTTATTGTGTCTAAACAAAACCGCGACAACACTTAATGTACTGACAATGTAACAAATGAGCTAATGAACATCAGCATCTCTTTGTTTTTTGTCCATTTAGGTCTGTTACAACTTTCTGTTCTTATCTGTATTTTTTTTAAGTTCCTGTGAAACGAAATGTTAAGGAGGGGAAAATTTGTTTATTTGCAGGCGCTATAATGAAGCTTTTCCATCATTGGCTGGTGAGGAATCACCATGTAAAGAAGGTGCAGCTCGATTGAGTAACTCTGTATGGAATAGGTCACCCTCTGTTGGCAAAGAAAATAAGAAGAAACTGAAGAGGAAGTTTTTTCAATATGCAAATCAGCACTCGTACATGTTTAGCTGCCAGGAGGAAGCCCAAGCTTGCAGCATTGCTAGACAGGTGGCAGCGCTGGCACTTGCTGAAACTGTCTTGCCCAATGCAGAAGCCACAGAAGTTTTCCCGTCCACCTTTCACGACAGCTCACCATCTTCTTTTAATGACAGCTCCGGCTGCTGGAAGTCAGCCTTTCGGACTGTCATTCTCACCAAAGTATTTTCACCCACCACTAACCCCCTTCACCAGTCCAGACCATTCAGTGCCATTGCAGTTTTGAAAACCTTTTCTCCCAGGGTTATCCAAGGAACGAATGTGAATCCCGCTTTAGACCCAGCTTATAATTCAACCCACTCCCCTCTAGATCCTGACAGACCCCCTGGGGTATTCCATCCTGTCCAAGATGAGAGCATCGCTCATCTTTTCCCCAATGGTGCAGATTACAGCTTAGATGACAGCCTAGAAACCAAGAGTGCAGATATTGAGATTTGTAACATATTTGACACTGGTCAGAAAAGAGAACAACAGCTCAGAGAAAAGGTCCAGAGAATCAAGAAACCCAAGACGAAAGTAGATACCCCACACGACCTAGAGTCAGACCTTGAACATGCCCTACAGTTCCCTTACCACTGTGGATCCTTCTGGCAAGAGCTTGTCTACAAAGGAGCTGTAGCACTGTATCCAAACCTGACCAAGCCAACGAAAACAGGAAGAGAGACGGATACTGAAACATTAATCTACGCAGAAGAAGGTACGGCTAAGCAGGTGTCCAAGCCTGTGAAAGATCTCTCTGCACTAAGCTTGGAGTCTCTAGGACACTTCTTCACCCCCGAGTCCATTAAGAACATTATATTTAACTACTTCTCTGGTCCTGGATGTCAGATAGGCTGCCAGATGTATCCAGGGCATGTTTTAAAAGCCATGGTAGAGAAGCTCCTGACAAGTAAGGAAAAGGCTTTGCAGTTGATTAGTTGCAACAACATTGACCAGAATGATGAGGATAGTTTCAGGAACGAACAGGTTCTTGAGACATGCGTAGAGGCCCTGACGTCACTGTTTTCCTTGGATAGCGCAAACCCTGTTAGGTCCTTCCACAACAGCTCAGCAGAGAGCTCCGGCAATGGGAACGAGCTGGCAGAGAAATGGTCGACTTGCAATGTGGTGGATGGCCCAGACTATTGTGAAAGAGAGATAGATTTCAGACATGCTGATGACAAGAGAATCGCTAAAAATGACAGCCATCAAGTAGATTTAAAATGCAACTATGAGATGATAAACTCTAGCTATGGGGACACCAGATTACATTCTTACTATTCAGATGACAAGTTAGTTTCCTTCTACGGCCTGGACAATAACGAGGTTGATGGTGGATTTGAGGATGATCCCTTGTGCTTCAACGATGAGTCTACTTCTCCAAGCATCACAGGCTTCTCACCCAGCTTTCTGAATAAAATTGACCTTGGATATCTGGATGATCAGGACGGTAAATTGTTTGATGTTGATACAAACAGACATTTTGAACCATCTCTTACCCTTCAGGAGAAAGTAGTTCTATGGAGAAATAGCCTAGAGCCGCAGTATGTTGTTGAGAAGTGGCCAGTGGTTTGCGAAGAGAGCAGCCACCAGACCACCTGGCAAGACCCACACAGCTTTGGCCTGCTAGACCCTGGCTACGCCCCTCCTGTCTCCCCACAGCTGCTGGACAGAGAACACTGCGAGCGTGGGAACATGTTCCCACCTGACCAGAAGCAGCTGCAGTGGGAGAATCCTTGGTCCTTCACAGAGTGGGATTCTATATGTAAGGAGCTGCTGGCGGGCTTCATGGATGGCTGCACCACCTGGCCCAGCCAGTCAAGTCCTGCTAATCCATTCATGCCATCGTTACTGACCTCTTGTCTGAGTAGTGAAGGAGCACAACTTTTGCAGGTGAGTTACTCTTTTGTTCCTGTAAGGGCTCAGCTCATACATGTATTGTAGAAGCTACTAGAGATTTATTAAAATGGTAATATAGCTTATGTAGTGTACTATTGCCTTTAGCGATTTATTAAGATTTGAGCATGTTTTTCCATAACGATTAAATTCCATATTAATCTGTTTTTTTAAATTACTTTAAAGTGGCAATGCAAAGAGAAACATTTATAATTCTTTATTGCATTTTGACATAGGAAATAACATGGTAATTTACATAGGCTATTTGATTTACAAAAAAATCTACAAGTGATATAAATTATTTTTTTTTGCAAAGAAAGCATCCGCAACAGTGGAATTTTACATTGCATCTTTCATTGTAAAATACATAATTTAAAGTAGAATATTTGAATCGAAATATTATTTTTAAAAGTTCTTAAGTTCTAACACTGTTTTACTACTTATTTTTAAAAGTTCTTAAGTTCTAACACTGTTTTACTACTTATGATTATATTTCCTTTCACGCAAGTTTGAGAATACATTGAAATAATATTTTAAAAGTCTAAACAAGTTGTCACTAACTCTTCAACCAGTATCTGACAATCAATTCATCTTCACTTCAAATGTTTCTTCATCCACTAAATTAGTAGTATATAGAATGACAAATCAAGTACATTTTCTTTTCTTTTTTCTAGAGTGCTTTTGTAAACTCATATTTTTCAAACAACTTCCAAGAACCATTAACTCAACTTAAGGTAAAATAACTTTTTTGTATAAAAATATGTACTGTAATTTTACTGTATTTAATCATCATTAAAAATTCTAAGAAATATATTTAATGTATATATTCATTTTAAAACTGTATTCAAATACTAAATAAACAAAATTCATTCATTAAATTCACCCAACTTTTACGATCTAAAAAGCCCACTGGTCTATAGTAACCTTGCTTCATGCTATGATAGTTTTTATTTTATTTTTTCTTATATTGCTTATTAACATGTTTTCTGCAAAACTTGGTAGATAGTGGCAATTCATCCTCATTGTGATAGGCAATTTTTGTCTGCTCTATAGCCTATTTGTCATTGTAACTATTTATATTTATTAGTATACAGTACTTGTAACTGTGGTAGGCTATTTTTGTTTGCTATATAGGCCATTTGTCATTGTAACTATTTATATTTATCAGTGTTATTTATATTTATCAGTGAACTTGTCACTAATTATACACTTTTTAAAGACTTTTTGAGACCTATTAGTTTACTTTTTGTTTTTAAAAATTGTTTGAACAAACTTTTTAACAAAAGTATTTTAAACTATTTAGCAACATTATATGGGAGAATTAGACAATTTTATTTTTTTAATTTTATTTAATGGTTCACTTATTTGCAGTACCAAGTCGCAATGTTCAATATGCGTTCTTGTCTTAGCTGCAAAGTGTTGTGTTACACTTGATAAAGTCGATCCCCAGTCTTCATTGTTTTATTAACTACCTCGTTTTTATTTCTTGTTGTTTTAGGAAAGTGAATTAGCAGTAGATTGTTCAGAGCTTGAGAAATTTTGGTTAGCTAAAGAGATGCATCAAGACTCGTCTGACCTAGATCATCTGTGGTTATCTTCAGAAATGCACCAGTCGTTTGGTTAGTTTTTTTTGTTGTTGTTACCTATGTCTTTTGACTTTCACGTGAGTTATTTTAAGTTCTCAGAAAGAATTATTTTAATTTTAGCTGAAACTGAAAGTAGAGCTTTTTAAATTTACAAGCATTGAATGTTGATTTGGAATTAGGTATTTTTTACGGAATCTTAATTTAAAATAAATTTGTCTTCCAGCTTTAGGATTCAGTTCTGCACAGTATGAGCTCATTCGAGGCTGCACCTGTTCCAATTGGCTAGAAAATAATTGTAAACTTGGTTTGTTATGTCCATTTTCTCATCCAAGGTAGGTTTCCTTTTTTCTTAAGCCATAATCCTTACTTGCACCTTTTTTCAATGGTACACTTAACTGTTTTCCACAAAAATTTACTTGAAGTTGTAGGTTCTCTTTGTTTTTAAACCTGAATAATCTGAATTAAATACATAGAACAATATTTATTTAGATGGCAGTATAATTAATATTTAAACTTTGTGTGAAACATGTTTTGATTAAGATGAAACAACTTGTACATTATACCTGTTTTAATTATTTTAAATAATTTTGTTTTCGCCATCTTTTTATCACATTGATTCAAGAGGCTCAACTTAAAAAAATATAGAAATAGCTTAATTAATAAACTTAATAAAAGTAAAATTTTAGTCAGTGTGCTTTTGTTTAAGGTTCATAAATTACATAGCTTTAGTGTTTAAAGGTAATAATATATAATACATTCAGATAATACATCTTACAACAAAATGTTAAACTTTTAAAAAATAGAACACAATAATAAAATTGTGAGTTAAATCTTAATACTTTTGCTTAGTAGATTAGCAATTAATAGCCGTTTTGGTTTTTAAAAAGGATTTTACTATTTTCTTTTATTTTTTTTACAAATTAATTATTTTGGCTACAATGGCATAGAACGGGCATATTTATTTAATTGTATTTTTTTTCATTATATTCTAAAATGTTTCACATGTGACAGTTTTTTTTTAAATGTTAAAAGTAAAAATCAAAATAAGGATCAAATTATGCTCAAAATTTCTTACATTCTAAGACAAACTTTACTTTTATATAACATAGCAAGTGAGAAATATTTTCTAATGTGTTACAAAAACTTTTGTTTCAGTATATAACGTTTATCTTTAGCCAAAAAAACGACAGCACATAATGCGCTAGATCTGATTCAGATTTGAAAGGGACAGGCGTCCAGCAAAATAAAACATTTGGGCTGTTTTGTTTAACTTGAAACCACAAGACAACGATGCATCTGCTTTGATTTGTACATTAAAATTGCGACCTGGTACTTGGTATTTTCCTACCTGCACTTAAGTGTATATTGATGCCTTAGAGACTGATAAAGTATTACATTTCATAAACCTGTTGTAATCTTTTTTATACAAGGATGAGTATTGTCTACTTGCCCAGTTTTTTTGTTTGACTATATTTACAGTATGATAAGCTTGTTAGTTGCCTTGTACAAATATATAAGGGCAAAGAACATAGCAGTTGGGCTGAAAGGTGGTATGTAACTTTGATATTGTATTTTATATCATATTTCACATACAGATATAAAATGTTTTTACTATTTTTGTCTAGGTCAGGTTTATTTAATACAAATGATCCTGATATAAAGGAAGGGGAAATACATTTTTTTACCTTTAATTTTAGACTATTTAATATTCCTAAGAAGAAAAAAAAGGCATTAGTTGTGATAAAAAGAATTTAAAAAAAAATAATTTTTTAAACACTTTATAAATTTTTGTTAGTGAAGAGCTGTGCCTTGATAAAAGCAGAGACATTGCTTGGTGTTTTTCTGTGAGTCGTAACAAAGAAATCACGCAGCTGTTTTTTTTTTGGTTTTGTTTACATTATACATTTTCAACATCCAACTTTGATTGGGTTTGTATGGTGTTAAACTTGAAATGGATATCTTCAATTTTATTTTGTAAAGGACAAAAGTTATTTAGTTTGATGGTTTGAAGTGATCTCATATCATTGATCGCCCGTATAGTGTACATATAAATTATTTATTATTCTCAGGTCGTATGGGCGTGCTTGAAATATTGGGGGGCTGTGTTGTGCTGAAAGATGATTGAATGTTTTATATTGAAAGATTTAAAAAATGTTCTATGAGGTGTATGGAAGATGAAACAAAGTTAACAGCCAAAACAAAAAATGGTTTTGTAAATACACAAACATTAGGTCACAGTATTTTGGTCTGGAAGAAAAAGATTATACATTGTGTTGATGACAATATTTTTTTGTCTTTTTAAATATCATTTTAAAGAAAAGTTTATTTCAAGAAAACATTGATAAAATATTATCTTTTATTAACATCAAACTTTTCACCGTATACAGATACTTCCGAAAAAAAAACTATTTTCGTTAAAAAAAAAATTAGCTTAAAACTATTACAAATGGCCAAATTTTGGAGTGTTAGCCCATGTGGAATACAGACTGGAGTGTTATTTATGCTATCTTTATGTTGTTGTCTAGTCAGATGTTGCCTCATTCCATCACACAGCCATTTTGCAATAATAAATGATGTTTGAAGAATTTCATTAAGACCAGTGTGTGTATTGTAGGGCCAAAAAGCTCATAATCCATTGTGGTATTTTGGTCCCAATACCTTAGAATGTTGTGCCTTTTTAACTTATTTACTATTGTGTGTTATGTGTATTTGAAAAAAAAAAAATCAGTCAAATTCAGAATTAAAATTGTATTTTTTTTTAAAAAGTTATTTTCTGAAAGTAGTTAAAATATTAAAATTAAATAAGTTCATTTTATTCAACAGCAGGAAATAAAAGTTGCATTCCTAGGGTTAACTCATAAATACTCATATTTTTGTGTTTAATCATTTGTATGTACATTTCAAAATGATGAGAGTATTGAGGTTTTTTTTTTTGGATGTGTTTATTGGATCAAGTTGTTATAAATCCTTTTTTTCACAATCAAAATTAACCTCTCATCAAACCTTACAAATATGCCGCGCAGTCATTTTCTGATGCCGCGCACAGATTATCAGAACGTCGGGCAAGCTTGATTCACGAAAAAAATTGTGGTCAGTGGCTTGAATTAAGCGACATTTTTAGTACCTGTTTTGTTAAACGAACAGTATTTGTGTTTTGGGGCATAAACAGAAATCACAGGTTTCATTGACTGGGGGGAGGGGTTGACCTCGGTTGTCATACCACAGGTCCAGTTAATGACTTAACTCTAAATTGAGCGGGGCGGGTACCGATGTGATGTCTGGGTGACCCTCCCTCTGCTTGATTTAATGGTTTACCCCAAAACTGACCGTAAAAGGGATTGTGGCTACTAGCTGACCATGCAAGGTTTTATTTTCTATTGTCACTGCCCTTCCCCATCTCCCAACCCCCACCCATCACCTTGATACTATGACGGTTTACCCAAGTCAGATGCAAAATCTACTTTACTAAAGGTGGATGTGTTTTGCTCTGTTTGGTTTAAGGATTCATATACTATATATCCAATTCTTGGGATTATTACGTCCACCTGGATCGAACTGTTTCAGTATTCACAGACTGGTTTAGTAAATAAGGAATAAAAGTTTACTACTCTGTGCTATTTAAACATGTTGAAAAGAATAATTTGTGTAACAGGCGGTAAAACAATACAGCAAAAAAAAAAAAAAAAGCGAGAGATTTGTTTGAACTGGAATGGCTCAAAGTTAAAGTGACAACCGATACGCCAGATTCTTAGAATGTTTCAGTTGAATTAGGAAGCATCTGAAGTGTAAGTTCTGTGCTGCTAGTACTTGAAACTAACACTGAGCGAGAAGAACGAGTTGAGTGCCAGCGGTCTAACGAGGATCAAGTTCGAATCCTAATGGATAATGTTCTTTTCGCCATTAGGATGCACGCCTCGATGCTGTCGGTACAACTGATTCATAACAACATGGGGAAGTATGTTTCTATACCAGACAGTTGGCGAAGTAAGAATTACGCCTTTGAGTTTGTTAAACCAATCAACGAGGTGGTTGTAAAGAACATACTGACAGAACTTCGAGTAGCATCGTTCCACACGCTTATAGTTGATGAAAGTACTGACATATTTGTACATAAAATGCTAATCCTTTATTTTAAATTTCGCTCAGTCAATTCTTTATTCTACAAAACCGTTTTTGGTGGAATAATTCAGCTTACCGCATGTGATACCTCAGCTCTGGAGGCAGCCATAACACAGTACTACACTGAACATCAACTTGAAATGAACCGCATGGTAATGATGACATCAGATGGGGCATCGGTTATGTTAGGCCGTAGGAAGGGATTAGCTGCTTTATTGAAGGCTAAGGTCCCCCATCTTGTTGAACAGCATAAAAAGGGCGCATTTGAAGAATTGGTCAAGGTGCATGATATGGATGTAATTTCTTTTCGACCAATTTATGAAGTTAGTTGGTTGTAACGTCACTTTGCTGTCAGTGCTTTTGTTAGAAATCTTGATGCTTTAGCTGCTTACTGTGAGGAACAAGTTCAAGACTACAATGATCCTGTTTGTTGTTATGTTTTGAAATCATTAAAAGATCCCTTGTATCAAATTGCGCTTTATACCGTTAATGATGTATTAACTGAATTAGCTAATCTATCAATGTTGTTGCAGCGAAATAATTTATCATCTATTTAAGCACATCAATTTTGCATTTCTAGAATACGCAAATTAGAAGCACAATACCTGAGTGAAGATGTTTATTGGAATGATAAAGCCAAGAAAATTTTGAATGAAAACGTAGGAATCGACACAAGACAAATCACACAGTTTATACGATCGGTCTGCGATCATTTAAATGTAAGGTTTCCAGGAGATGAACTGCAGTTTTCTTCAGCTTTTGATCCTACTGGTTTTAGAAATTGCGCATTTGAGTTTGGCGTCAAAGATATCAAAGAACTGTGCGTAAAGTACAAAGACGTGTTACAAACAACAAATGAAGAGTCAATTATCACGCAATAAATGACTTCAATTTTCAGATCAGTGAAAAACTCAAATCAGGTTCAGTAAATGCACTAACTGAAAACGCAGGAGTTTAAATGATGAACAATTTAGCTCATTGGCAAAGTTAATTTACATATGCTGTACTTTTCAAGTATCCAGCGCTGATTGCGAGCGAGGTTTTAGTCTTATGAACAGCATTAAAGTACAAGCACGAAATAGACTTGAAGCCACACATTTGGATAATCTAATGCGAATTAAACTATATCTAAATGCTGGAAAGGATGTGGATTTAAACAAATCATATAAGGTGTGGAAGCAAGGCAAGGTTAGACGCGAGAAATTGCAATAAATGCCACTGAAAGGTTAGCTAATTTTGTTTTCAAGTCAGCTCTTTAAAATGGTTTACATGTTAAACTGTTGTATTTGTATTACCGTTATGGTATTAACATTTTTAACATACGATTGCATTACACTAACATAGTACGTCGACCATATAACCTGTTGTCTAAGTATAACTCTAAAAGTTTCTGTTGTGTATTTTATTTTATTTAGATGGGATTTGTATCTTCTTTTAATAGCATACGTTTCATTAGTTCTACACATTATACTATTAATTTATCAAAATGCATGCCTTAATTACTCTGCTTAATTGCAAGCTTAAACATACATATTAACTTGCCCAAGTCATTTTTAGCACCGCGCACACAACATATTTTTTGCACACACACTCTTGGTCCTTAGAGGGAACATTGCATCAAACTTAACCATGTCTATTTAAGCAGCATCTTGCATTGAAAGCAATTTAATTTCATGTAGTCTCACAGTTGAAATTTTACTGCATTTCTCAGTTTATACTGGACTTAACATTTCTGATGTCTTTGATTATTTTAAATTTTTTTCTTGTTTCTGAAATATCTGAAGGTTTTCAAATGAGAAAGTTTGGGAAAAAAGATGTTGGTCTAAGATCATAAATAAATAAAATTCTCTGCCACTGGATGGTAGAGTCAGGTTAGCAACAGTTTAGCATTAAATCCACACCACCCTACCCTAAGCACTTACTTACTAGCTTTAATCCACCCAAATTTTTATAATTTAATTAAATTCTAGTAAAAATATGCTTTTTACACTAAAAAAAAATTATTTTTAACTGCTAAGTAAATATAATCTGAAAAGGGAGGTTATTCACCTCTCAGTAATTGTTCTCAGCTTTGAAAGTTAAAGTTTTCTCAAGTTTTTTCCTCACTGATCTGATTTACTGTTTCTCAGAGTTAACCTCTCTTGTCTGCATAATGTTTGTTGCTTGTGTTTCAGCATAATTGAGGCAAGACGTTTTCATTGTTGTCATTTAGAATGCATTCTGTCATCTACCCTCGTCTGTGATAAATTTGTTTTTGGAATTCTTTAGTTGTTTTTTTTAAGCAGATAGTTGCAAAAATATTGCTAGATTATTTTGAAAAAATTTAAGCTGCATTTCAATAGTCAATTTTGAAAAAAAATAACAAACATTTTTGTTAAGTCTTAAAGCTTCTGTAATTCAATGATTAATTGGGAGGTACAGACAACTATAATCTCTATATTTGCTAACTAAATCATTTGTATCTCTTGACAAATCAAAGAACAATTTAATATTATCCTCTTCCATGGAGAAGTGAAAGTACCAATATATTGCTTGTCATTTTGGCAAGAATGTGTTGATGGATCATTTTGATGAGTTTTATTGCAAGGAAGAGTTGCTATTCTAATCTTTGATATTTCATGATAAGAACTGTGTGTTTTGACTTATATATAATGCTATGACTTGCAGTAATTTATGTTTAAGATGGGCGGAATATGCATACACATATTCTGTTAATTATTTATTAATAACATTAACTGCATTTTTTGTGTTGGAAATCCAGTTGAAAATGACAGCCTACAGCAAATTGCTTTTGTGTGTATTGAAAATTATCTGGAAAAAAAAAATTCATTCATCAATGTTTCATTTTCTTTGTATTCATTTTAAAAAAAAATCACATTGAAAATGAAAACAAATTTTTTTACTCTGTGTTTGTAAGACTTGTACATAATGTCCAACTTTTTATTTTCACAACGGGAGAATTAAAAAAAAAAATTCATGCAAATGTGATGTGCTTGAAAGTAGAATTTCACATATTTTTTATCATGCGATTGTGATGTGCTTGAAAGTAGAGTTCCACACATAAAGGAACCAAGTGCTTAGTGTGATAGAAGAGATTTGTGATTCTACTTGACAGCTGATGAATTGGGAGAGAGTGAATTATACCTACAGGCAGTCGTTTGTTTTTGTTTTAAATGTGTATGATGCCCGAACATATGTTAAACAAGGGTGTTGATATCATGCAGGATTTGATATGAGTATCCGGCTCCCGACTTTTTTTTTTTTTTAATGCAGTGTTGCAACACTTTTTACAGTGAGGATATTGCTACTGTAATTTTTACCTAGCAAAAGAAAAAAAATATTTTATCGTCAGAGGTTGCGAATGTCTTAGATGAGTATCATCGCTTGTCTATCATTGAAGAATGACGTGGGTCTGATGACGAGTATACTATGGGGTAAATGACATTTATGCATTAGGATGCTGATGAAGTTTGATCCTCATTTTAAGATGATGAGTAGCCAGTTAGTCTTGGAGAAGCTTTTGGTTGTCATGGAGTTTCATAACTTACCTGAGCCATAAAGTAAGAGCCATGCTCAGCGATTAGCCTAGAATGTCATTCTAGGGGACGGTCCTCCACCATTACTGTTATTCAAGAAACGGCCACGTACTGTCTGGTAAATGATGTATGAGGGGGGACTGCCGGTCTTGAGTGGGTCCTTTAACTTCCTTTTACAGCAGCAAATTTTTTTTTATCCTTAAATTGTATCCTTTATTTTTATACTTGAGTAAGAAATTTTTATGCACTATATTTCTTACAAATACATCAAATGAATAGTACAGTACCGTGTCAATTTATCAGGATATTTATATATAAATTTTATCCTTGTTTTTTTTTTTTTTTTTACTTTACTCAGTGCTTAAGCATGTAGCATCTCCTTTACACTGTAATAAACTGACATTTTTATGCTTGTATGTGCAAGAAGAAATAACGCTATGTACTGCACAGGTTTAATTTGTAATCAATTTTTAATTTTGACAAAGGAAGTCAGATAGGTGTAATAGCTTTAAGTATGTTTTATTTGGTTCATCTCTATATTACCAGTATACAAATTATGCTTTATATTTACTTGGTTTATTTTTTTACAGGTGTTTTTTTTTCTTCATTTAATTTGTTTTGTCTCTGTATTGTTTCCCTTTTTTTTCCTTTTAATGTTTTGTAGATGTCAAGCTTTTAGAAGAAAGGATAAAAAAAAATTTTCAAACCTTTTTTTTTTTAGATTGTATTGTGTCTAATTGTATGCATTATGTTCCTCGTAGAAAAAGTTAATTTTATAATATGTACTAAGTCTACATTTTTTATGTTTGTATACTGTCAAGTTTGTAGAAGGATGAATAATACATTTTTTGTGCTTTATATTCACACTTTAAATTTAGTTCTTATATGTATTATGTCCCCTTGTAGGCCTCTAAGTTACGTTGATGTTATGTCCATTTTAAATTTTTGTATTTTCTTTATTCCATGCTAAGTATGAATATCTTTAAGCAACTAAAGTAGGCTGTCTTAGTAGGCTTTCATTCATATTGTTGACATCTACCCATTCTGTTTTAATTGATTCAGTACTTTGACTTTGATGCAAATTGAAATTCTCTTTGACTTTCTCATATTTTAATTTTACCATCATTATGCTGACCAGAGTTATTAGACTTGTTTATCTGTAAAGTGTACCTAGCTGTTTTATGGATAGTATTAGCATGTCTGTATAAAATGGTTTGAAGTTAGATGAGTCTTAACATTGCCTGTGTAAATTTATATAAATAGAAGGTTAAAAATGATTAATGCCTTTGAAAAAAAAATACAGAAATGTAAAGACAGTGGTTTTTTTTGGTAAGGGGAAACAACTCAAAAAAATGTAACATCCACACATGGTGTATATTTTATAAAATGTGTTTAAGTACATATTGTCTTATCAAAATTTAGAGAGATTTTTGCTTGTTTTTCTGCAAGTTTTGAATCTGTTCTAATTTGGTAGATTTTATTTGTTTTGTTTTAAATAAACGTAAAAAAAAATATGAATGAGCTTGATTTAGCTCAAGTCATAAAAAACTTGTGTAGTTAAATGGTTTGTATCTTTGTTTGAAGGTGATAAACCTTTGTAAAGGTGTTTTCATTGCCCTATCTTTGTCTTGTATGTTGTGCCACAAAAAAAAAAGCTCATGAACACTTGATTGTTGTTACAATATGTTGGCCATTATTCACTATATGTTACTGTAAAATTGTTGGTTGATAGAAACTATAGGAAGAAAATGGAAGAAAAAACTTCAATATGTTGTGCGTTTGTGTGTTAAGAATAATTTTTTTTTGTCATGAAGGAAAGAAATGAATAACCTTGAAAAACCCCATTCTGATGTTAACCTAGTTTTTTTTTTTTTGTCAGTGACATGGCTAGCTTGCTAGTACTGAGCATAGTTAGTGTGCCGATTAGACCAGTATGTATGGGTATATGTGTGTGTAAGATAGTTTGTCAATGACAGATACCATCTATGTTAGATCACAGTCCTGGTTGACATGACAACCTGTGTTTTATGTCTGGCAACCCTTGGTTGTCTTGGCAAGCCGCTGGTGTCTAAAGGACCAGCCACAAATCAACTTCAAGTAAAAAAAAAAGAAACAAAAAAAAACGTGAAAATTTGTACATTGTTTTTTTACTTTTGGAAAACTTTTTCCCATATATAACTTGAAACAGTTGATAGTTAAAGAGGCAAAAGAAATCTAAAAAATATGTATGTGTTTTAAACATTCCAATGTTTAATTCTAGTTTAAAGTTTAGATGAATAAAAGATTTGAAAAGAGATTGTTTTTTTCTTCTTTTATACAGTTTTTGTTTGATATTAGATCTTATGTTGTTTGAGGTTATTTATACATACTAACTTAAAAATATACACAGCTTACAATATTATCCATATGTATCACAGGCCAATATTCATGTATTTTGTAAAATAATACCTAGATCCTATACACATACAAATAACTACATGCTAAATGTATGTATTTTAATAAACACGCAACCTAAAATAAACATATTCAAGCATAATAACATCCTTAAAAAGATATATTACTACATAAGTAGATAATTATTAGAGTATACATATTGCAATTTAACAACTGCAATCACAAACTATTTTAGGCCCTCAAAATCTTGATTATATATTCAATACTTCTGTAATACAAAAATAGAGTAGTAATGCAACAATATGAAAATATTTTTAAAAATATTTTAAAACCAAAGCTTCCTAATGAGTTATGTTGGGACCTTATACTGCCTTATAGGACAAGGCTATTTACATAAACCAGACATTTCTGGAAAAAAAACAAAATAGGCCAGTGAGTATTACTGATTTTAAGATTGCTAAAATAATGAGCAACTTCAGGCATCTCTTCCTGAGGACTACCACCCTTCCCTTCACCACTCTAGACGAAATAAAAAAAAAAATTGATACAAAAATTAAAAACTTCAGCCATTGTCGTTGTTTCCCCATCTCACTGGAAATTTGTGTCGTCGTCTCCCCCCCCCCCCCCACCCCTCCCCGAGAAAACAAAATCTGAAGAACAAAAACCAACCACTGTGTTGAAGAGATTTCATGAACGACCATTCTTTTTTAAAGAAAGCAAATTTATTTTTAATAAAAATTTAATGCATTGCTTTTTTTTTTAAATATAGGGCATAGGCCTATTTGTTTTATTACACCTCACCACATTTCATTTTACGACTTCTCTTTGCTTTTTTCTAATCTCCTTAAATCTAGTTTAGATTTCAGTTCATGACATCCTATATCACTGTACATTTTACGACATCCTATAATTTTTTTTTTCTCATCAACAACTGTCACGTCTGCTTGACAGCTGCCCTAATTTGCTGACGTTATCTGATCCAAGAGGAAGTTTGAGATCTGAACTTGTAATACCGTTGGTATTGAACAGGGATCAGACTCCCGGGAAAAAAAACCCTCTGGGGGGGGGGGGGGGGGTTCTTTGCATGTAGGCCTACACCTTGCATGAAGGGCTTCACCTGGGGTCATGTTAAACATTCGGCTGCATAAAAAAGGGAAACGATTAGTTTACATTTTTTGTGAGAAAAGGTGAGGAGTTAGTAAAGGTGTAATCAGAATAATCCCAATGATAATAAAATATTTTCAACCAGTTAAATTATGCTCATCAAAAAGTCGCATCGAAGCTAATTGTTGAATTTCTTAGCACTTATCGCTTCACTAACCCTGACCCTAAATCTAGCTTTTACCCAAACCTTGAACGTAACCTTTACCATAATAGCCAAACCGGAAGGTATGATAGATCTAAATACTAGATCTAGATCTAGATCTCAAGGCCTAATGATTAAAATTAAAACGGTAATGCACTACCGACGATAATAATTTCTCTCTAGACGCTACAAGTGCCGACATTTTACTCGCCAAATTAAAATATTAAAACAAGCTACCTAAACGAAAGGGTGAAAAATGTAGCCTGTGGCACTGATGGCTTTATACTAATTAGTTAAGTCAAAAACTGTCTTCCTGATGCAATAAATAACGATTTGTATGATGTAGGGCCCCCGTGCCTGTAAAAATCATTGGAATAAAAATAGCCACATTTGAATCACGTGACGGATTGATGACGTATGGCGGTATGCAAAGTATAAATCACTGTTTTTCCCAAGGCAGTTGCCGGGTTTTTTGGACTAGTGTTCCCAAGAGAGAAGGTTTCTCTCGAACATTCGTGATTGACGTAAAGTCAATTAGGAAAACAAGGTTAGAAATGGTTTTTTAATTAATTTATTTTTTTAAAAGTTTTATATAAACATAAATGTTTTGTTTTTACACGTTTTTGTTTATTGTTATTTTTTAAATTATTTTTTTACTAAAAAATATAATTTAGTCACCATAATTATCTCATAATCGATACTTTGAGTACACCCCCCTCTTTTTTCTACTGCCGCATGAACATTCCTTATCGAATTCGGTTTTCCGATAGGCCCTACCATTTTGATATAACGCCAAGTTAGATAATCCAGAATCCTTACTTTACTTATGAACTTAATTTAATAGTTTTCGCGTAAAATTTTTAAGCTTACCTTTAATTTTTTTGTTTCTTAACCATACTGGTTACGTTCTAGACAGTTCTAGTGCTGGTCTATGTATGCTGATTAGAGGTTTTCTACTTTTTTCCCCCCTATTTTCGAACCTGATAGTCCATTGGGTAAGTGAAGTAGAGTTTCAGTGACCTCGGCATACGATGGGATAATGCTGTCAGCACTATGCCCATCCGCCTTTGCTTTCCTTAACGTGAGTTAGGTACCCATCCGAGCCGGGTATGGACTTGAACACAGATTCGAACTCGGGTTAGCGCTCTACCAATAGGCCAAACCGCTCCATGGATTTCCTTATTATTATAATTTTTTTTTAATTTTTTTTTTTTTTTGCTTTTTTTTTTTTAAATCTAAATCGAATTAGTTACGACGCAGATCTAGACAATGGCGTCATTTTGTCTGTTGTCACCAGGTGCTATAAGAGAGGGTGACACCCCATCTATTCCAAAAATGTAGCATTTTTAGTTTCGTGTCATCTTCTCCTAAACAATTTTATTATTTTACTTGATGAGACATTGTTTCGACAGTAAATTTAACGATTTATTTAAATGTTTGTGTCACCCCAAAAATGGTGTCACCCGTTGCGGACCCCTACCATGCCCCTGCCGGATGACGCTTGGATCTAGTTTAAAAATAATTAAAAAATTATAAAATAGAACATGTGGAATTTCTATTGACGGGATTGTTTGAACTAAAAATAAGTAGTAAAATGTGTTTTCAGTTTAAGCCACTTTGATTGTCTGATTTCTTTTTGTCTCCATACATTTTGGTCCATATATTTATGGTCTCGGTCGGGATTTCAACGAAATGCATTATCATTGCTACTTCATTACCATGAAAAATGTTATATATATATATATATATATATATATATATATATATATATATATATATATATATATATATATATATATATATATATATATATATAATGCGTTCTGGTTTTGTGTTGCTCTGCTGGCGTTTCAATACGGGTCCATAAATGACGTCACTTTCCGTGGGAGTGGAGGGGGGGGGGTCGGTCATTTGTCATGATCTGTAACGAAGGGAAAGGAAAATTCAGATAGTGTATAGTCACACTTTTGATTTGACAAATAGCATTTTAAAACTGAATTTTAACAGTAAATTCGCAAATTCGCGGTAAAAAAAATTCTCGCTTGAAGTGTGATCATACCACACTATAGTTGTGTGAGTTGAAATAAATTAAAATTTTCTAGTGCTTAGTAACATTAGTTTGCAGGTCGATTCTTTTGTTGGTTTTATCTAAATGTTTTTTTTCATAATTAATCATAGGCTAGTACCACACCAATATACTACTCTATTTACCAGAGTATAAGTTGATTGTAATAGGGCTGGTAAGTAGGTCACCAACCAGTTATACGGCTCAATAAAACCTGCACGAGCCATATAACTGGTTGGTGACCTACTTACCAGCCCTATTGTAATGAAATCGGTGGGGCAAAAAACGGAAATTTAAAAAGCGCAGACAATCCACTCTCACGTACACACATACATTTATCTTCAGATAAACAAAGATGTCACCGTCTTTGAACTATCTTTTCCTGGCCTCGACGCTGCTAGCCTTGGTCTACGGAGACACCAAAACCGTCAGCATTAACCCCCCTGTCAGCGGGGGGACTCTGGACCCCCTGAGAGCCGCCTCCAACTCATACCTCCAGTCCAGGCTGCTCGGGGGTCCGGGGTACGGGTACTCACCCTACGGCTACGCTCCCATCAACGGCTACGGGTACGCCCCTGGTTACGGGGTGCCCTTCGGAGGTGGCTACTTCCCCGGGGGTTACAGTGCAAACTACAACGGCAACGCCAACACCAAGTCCAACTACGGGATCAGGATCACCGGCATCATCAAGACGGAGGTGTACAAAAGTGAGGAGGGGGCTCAGAATGAGGAGAGCGCAGCGAACGCTGGAGGATACGCGGGGGGATACGGTGGAGGGTATGGTGGGGTCGGTGGAGGGTATGGTGGGGTCGGTGGAGGGTTCGGTGGAGGGTATGGTGGGGTCGGTGGAGGGTTCGGTGGAGGGTATGGTGGGGTCGGTGGAGGGTACGGTGGGGGGTACGGTGGAGGGTTTGGAGGAGGGTATGGAGGGGGATATGCTGGTCTTCCATATCAGGGCATAGGCGGATACCCTGGTGCTTTCCCTTACCAGAACATAGGCGGATACGGCGGGGCTTATCCGTACCAAAATCTAGGAGGGTATGCGAATTTACACCCATACGCCACACACAAAAAGTAGGTTGTTTCAATGTTGAGGATGAGCAACGAAGTGGCGGACCAAGCTTGTTTGACATGGTTGTGAAAATGTTGTTTACGGTTCAATTTATTATTATTAAAAAAAGTATCTTTTTTTTTTTTAAATTTAAACACTTAGCATGGGAAAAGAATAGTTTACACCAATTTTCATTTTGGGAATACAAAAAAATGAAATTTTAAAAATGAATTTAAGAAAAAAAGATTTGTGCCTTCTGAAATCTCAAGTAGTTGAATCCATGCATGTTTTTATTTGATTAACAACTAAAATTTGATTTCTGAGAATCTTTCATGAAAGAAGACGACACAAACCATCAAGTGTTTTGTGTGTAGCAGTTTGAAAATTTGCTTACATTGAGTTTTGTTTACATTTTTACTTTGTAATCACACCAATATGTTGCCAAAAATATAATCAGTATCACCAAGAACAGTAATTAGTATTGTCAAAAGCAATAATTTCTTTAATTATTTAACCTTGAAGTGCGCAATATTTAGGACAATCATTAACTTGAATCAATTAAACTGTGTACCCCTAATCTAGCTTTAAACTTTGTAAATTAGTTTTGGAGTTTAAAAATAAAATGATAAGTTATTTGTTAAAATGTGTTTTTTTTTTTATTTGTGATGGTAAATTAAACACCTCCCACCAAAACTGGACCTCTAAATACTCTAATTGCCCCGAAGGACATATTACTAATTGACAAATATTAATTAATCACACGTCGCTATGATTATGGTGACAGATCGGCATAGACTTTACTTTGTCGGCCCCAGGCGATTTTCCCGCCAATCCTTGCGTGCGCCGATTGGCCAATAAAAATAGATTTTGAGTTTATTTTGGTGAATAATATTTTCGCCATTAAAATGAAACCAGACATGATTAGATGGATCTTTCATGGGTCACGGTATTTAATGTGGTAATTAGCACCGGTTGTGTGCTGTCATTAAAAAAAAAACGAATCTAAAAGTATTTTTAATTTAACTTTAACAACAACAGTGAAAATGTAATTTCACCTTCGATGTTTAGACTGAATGTTACGAATGTGCTGTTAACACAATAACAGTAACACGCAAAATATTTTCCTTAACTTTGAACTAATTCAATACGTTCCCCCAAAAGTGTACCTTTAATATTTCACAAGAACAGTTATATTGCTCCAAAGCCCCATTATCTCCCATCCGTACGTAAAGCTCAGTTGTTCTTTGCGTGTCTTGATTTTTTTTTTGAAAATCACGAAAATCGATTGTTAAAAACCTCACAATTTTTTTTTCTTTCAAATATACAAATTAAAAAAAAATAAAATTAAAAAGGGAAAACATTTTTAGGAGAAATAAACTCCGCTATTCCATTGCATTTTATGAGTTGTTTCCCTTCAACCATATACCATTAGCTTCCCTTGCGTTCGATTTACATTTAGCAGTCAATGCACAAATGCAACTCGCCCAATCAAATGGTGGTCGATACCGTTAGATTAGCAGAAGGGCTAGAGATTAGATACACCAATAACGAGGTGACATGCGTACTTTGCCGTGTGCAAGATAACAATACAGTGACCCACACACATTAATTAGGTTCATGTTGTTATCTACACCCTAACACATCAGTGGAGGCTGGATGTGTATATTTGAGCGATCAATTTTTAGACTTTACATTTGGTAAGTTTACACATTAAAAAGTATTTTGTTTTTTATGACTGTTGAAAAAACATTAAATAATGAAACCTAGGACAGGCTCTTTGGGTAACTTAGGATAACTTAAGGCAACTTGGGACAAGATAACTCAAGGCAACTAATGATAATTTAAGGCAACTTGAGACAACTTAGGATAACTCAAGGCAACTAATGATAATTTAAGGCAACTTGAGACAACTTAGGATAACTTAAAGTAACTTGAGACAACTTATGATAACTTAAGGCAACTTGTGACAACTTAAGATAGCTTAAGGCAACTTGAGACAACTTATGATAACTTAAGGCAACTTGAGACAACTTATGATAACTTGGGACAACTTAGGATAGCTTAAGGCAACTTGGGACAACTTAGGATAACTTAAGGCAACTTGGCACAACAACTTTGGACAACTTTTGATAACTAAGGGCAACAAATGACAACTTTAGACAACTTAGGATAATTTAGGGCAACTTTGGACAACTTAGGATGACTAAACGCAACTTGGGACAACAACTTGGGACAACCTTGAACAAAACGTCCCATTTTTTAAAGCTCAGTTAAGCTCACTATTACCTAGACACAAGAGCTAAGTGTTGGAAAGAACAGCTTATCAAGGGAAGTGAAAGCGCTTAATAAAAGCTGGCCACAAGCTTCTATGATCTGAAAGTAATCTTTCAGACAGGTGAAGTAGAGCTGACTAGTTTTTCTCAAAACTGTTCGTGAAAGTGGAGAGCAACCAGTCTTCATTTCGTTCATAAGGCAAAGTTTAGCTGACCGGAATTTGAACCCACTACCATTCGTGTGCGCCCTCTTGATACAGTGCAGGCAACCATGCTACTTTCACTAGAGATGACCTACAGATGTCAGATTTCAGAAGCCTATAAAAAAAAAAAAACGTCGTAATTTGTTGCGATCTGACTAAATCAGAAATCTCTAGAACATCAAAAAGTATATTTTTAGACTTATTAGGCTTCTTCCCCCTACTATAATGAACGAAGTTGAAACCACTTTAAAAATTATAAATTTTCACACCGAAATTTTAGAATCCACTAAAAAAATTAGATAAGAAAATCGAAGGTAGATTGTGCAGATATTACTTTTCAATATGAAACGTTAATTAAAGTTCCCGTTCAAAACTGACAATCACTGGGGCAGGGGAAGTAGAGTTCATCTATTTCTGTGACCTCGGCATATTTGGGAATAGTGTGGTCAGCGTTATGCACAGGCTTTGGTTTCCCAAACGTGAGACAGGCTCTCATCAAAGTTGGGAGGACCCAGGGACCATCTACGGATTTGATCTCGGAATCAAACTCGAGACTCTCAGATTAGCAGTCGTATGTTCTACCATTCGACCAAGCCGTCCCCTTATATAAAATGTAGTGCATGTACCACTATAAAGATATGAGATAGCCAGTGCGCGTATTGTTACAATTGTTATGGTATTGAGATATCCAAAGGTGCCAGCCATGTTTCTCAATGAGGTGTTCACGTTGGTGGTGTTGATGGTGACTATCACACCAACTTACTACAGCAAAGTCGACAACCCTAACGCTAAGCGGTGTGAAAGCAAGATAGCAGGTAAGTTAAACATTTACGTCTCATATTCTAAAAGGTACAATATAACGTCCGTCTTCACTAAAATAGTAAAATAATCCCCAAACATACTTTACCTGTAGTTTCGTAGTCTCCCTTTATTTAAGTCATCTCCCTTGGTACAGTTGTGCCTCATAATTAAGCTAGCAGTGCATCGACGTGGGTACATTCTGGCAAAAGATTTTATGCCGACATGAATTGAATCGGTGCCATCTTGACGCCTGTAGCTTTAACTCTGTCCACTGTTTTTACTTAGGACGAAGTCAATAACGTTCAGAAATTCTAACCATCTAAAAGATCACAAACATGCAGCTCCTTCCCATATTCAAGAGATAATAAATCCTACACTCTAACACTTCCCACATTCCCAGATTATGATACATCATAAAAAAAATTCGATCAAATTCCCACGTTGTAAGAAGATGATAAATTCTAACTCGGAATATAATAAATCCACTTCCCACATTATAAAAAGATGATAAATTCTAACTCGGAAGATAATAAATCTTACATTCTACCACATCCAACATTGTAAGAAAATGATAAATCCTAGATTGCACCAGTCTCCCATATTGTAAAACAATGATCAATTCAAACCCCCACCCAAACGCCCACATTGCCAGAAGATGATCTATTATAAATCTCGCCAACTCATCATATTGTCAGAAGATGATACACTCTAAACTCTTCCCTCAGAGTGCGGGGAGCTGACCCCACCAACCGCCCAATACGGACGTATGGACTGTCAGTTCAACCTCAAATCTTGCGCCTACAGCTGCGTCCTCAAGTGTAACAGGCGACCGGACGGGAAACTGCTGCCCATATCCAACGTGAGTACGTGGGTAAATATGGGGGGGGGTGGGGGAGGACGGGAAACTGCTGCCCATATCCAACGTAAGTACGTGGGTAAATATGAGGGGGACAGGGGGGGGGGGGGTAGGACGGGAAACTGTTGTCCATATCCAACGTAAGTACGTGGGTAAATGTGGGGGAGGGACGGGGGGGGGGGGGGAGGACGGGAAACTGCTGCCCATATCCTAAATATGGGGGGGGGGGGTAGGACGGAAGTACGCGGATAAATGTGGGGGTAGGACGGGAAACTGCTGCCCATATCTAACGCAAGTACGCTGATAAACATGGTGGTAGGACGGTATCCAACGTAAGCACGTATAAATATTGTAATAGGACGGAACAGGTAAACTTTGAGTTAAACTCATCTTTATTCTCTTTTCTTCAAACTACTTAAAAAAACAAGAATATAAAAAAATAAAAATAATTTTCCACTGGTGAAAATGTGCTGCTTCTGTTTCTTGTAGAAAAAGCACGCCAAGGAGATGTACGCCTGCACGAATGGCGTCTGGAAGCGGAAAGAGTCTCCCAGGGCCTTCTGTATGGGTGAGTAGATACATTTGTTATTCTTTGTATTTTCGTGGAACCAAAGATGTGAAACATCATAGTCAAAACTGTTTTAAAAAATTAGGAAAAAAAAACAACGTTTGAAATTTTAAAAATAAATGTTCACGGTATAGCGATTCTTCGCGATGAACTGTTTTCTAGAGGCGCATTTTCTAACTAATCGTACCTTGCATACCCCCACCCCCCGCCCCCCCCTCCCCCCCCCCCCAAAATACTCGGAAAAATAAGTTTAGTTTTCTTGTTTGAGGTTTTGAGCCCCCAGCATTGCCACAACGAGTAAATTGAGTCCTATTTTAAAAAAGATTATCTTTTTAATACGTTTTTACTGGGTTAAACTAACTAACCTCTAACCTTTGAACCCCAGCAAACCTGCAGGTCAAGGAAGTGAAACAGAATCTGTTCCACGACGAGGACATCAGCGTCCTGATCCAGAGACTCTTCAACACAAGCTACTACTACCTAGCCATGGTGAGTTGGTTTCTTGACAGTGGCGCCCCTAACTAGGTAAACCTCGGTGCCGCATCTAACACCCCTCCCACCACACCCCCTAGTGACGCCATTGTAAGACTGCAATACTCAAGTTCGATAACTGTTGTTTTTCAGGCTTCCTTCTACGAGAGAGCGGACGTGGCTCTGCCAGGGTTCAGCAAGTTCATGACAAACTTGTGGCAGACGGAGTTGGATCAGGCGAGACAATTCTTATCCTACGTCAACAAAAGAGGAGGATTTATCGCCCTTTATGACATTGTAAGTCCTAGAAGTTGTTTTTTATGCTTATATATATATTTTTTTTTTGGTATCCACTAAATTACAAAATTTAACAGAGAAGGTTTTAATATTAATTTTGCGTAACTGTTAAAATCGTATATACGATCACCTTCTTATTGTCAACCTCACTCTCCTCAATAACTTTCAAAAACGCTTTAAGCTTTCGCAGTGGCGCAAGCAAGGGGAGGGGGGTTAGGAAATGTGATCCCCTCCATAGACCATACAGGACAGTCAATAGCTTTAACGTTTTATGGGGGTCTATCAGGATTTTCATATCAGTGCCCAAAGACACAGGGGGGAAGATGAAGTAGAGTTCATCTGTTTCAATAACCCTGGGGTGTAATGATGGCAGCACTATGCCCATTCGCCTTAGTTTCTCCTAACGTCAGTCACGCACCCATCAGAGTTTGGTGGATTTGGGATGCTCTAAGGACTAAGTGTTTTTTGAGGCTACACCCCCTCCAAGCGCATCTACCCCCCCCCCCCCCCGAACGAATATAATTCCTAAGGGGTCATCCAAAAATGATGTCACATTCTTAGGGGGGAGGGGGGTCAGTAATTTTGTGACGGTGTGTGATGAGGGGGAGGGGGGTTCAGATGGTGTGACGTCACACGTTTGCATTATAGGGTGAGGTGTGACGTCATTTAGGGGGGTGGGGGTCTGGCTTTTTGTGACGATGTGTGACGGAGGGGAGGGGGTGGGGAGGTAAAAATCGTCAAAATGTCGTCATTTATGGATGACTAACCAGCACTCATACCTAAACTTATAAGGATGATCCAAAAAAGAAAAAGACATTGTCGAGAATCTAAATACATGTTCCAAGAATTTAAAACAAATTGTGAATAATCTCAAAACGAAGAGTCAAGCACCTAACAAGAACCAAAGTTTCCTATGTTAACTCTACAGCCCCGCCCCTCCTCCTACGACATGCTCCTGCTGAGGTTGGAATCTAAACCAGGCCTGGCCGGCATGGAGGCGGCACTAACAGCCCTCAGGGACGTCAACAGCCAGGCACTGGACCTGCAGAAACAAGCCATCGCCGTCAGGAAGTTTGCCGATCCTCACGTGACTATCTTTATTTTTAGCTTATTCGAAAATTGAAACATTTTAAAAAAATATTTCTTTACCGATCCCAATGAATTTTATTATTTATAACTTATTCGAAAATTTAAACACACTTTTTTTTTCATTCACTCATCCCAACTTGACTATCTTTATTTTTAGATTATTAAAAAATTTAAACAAACATTTATTTGAAATGAACAATATTTTTACTAGATTATAAACTGACCCCTGTTTTGACATTGACTATCTTTTTTTTTACTTTATTCAAACATGTAAAACAATATTCTTATTTTAGGTCTTTAGCAAATAATAACATGTAACTCGTAAAAAATATATTATTTTATTTAGAAGCTTAATTAAGACTGAAAACACGCTTTAAACAACCAACAAAAACATTGGAATTCAGCATTTCGGTTTTGTTATCTTTTGCAGCTCAAGTCTTTTGTAGAAGATCATATACTCACCCAGAAAGTCGAGGCTATCAAGCGAGTTGCAGACATCATTACACGTCTGCAGAGCTTCAGCGGGGAGGATTATTCCCTTGGTGAGTACACCTTGGACCTGGAGCTACAGGGATGATCGCTGTGACGATTATTGCAATCACAAACAAGAACTTTAATTCCAAGCTGTTTTTTAAATAGTCGAATTACCTGGAAATCCAATTTTTTTAAAGATTTATTTGAATAGTATTTTTAAAAAATTATTTTTTTTAAATTATTTTTTTTTTGAGGCCGAAATAATGTGGTACAATGGCAACAATCTTAGTGGCATGATAGATGTGGGGGAGGGGTGTTCAAGAAGAGTGAGGCCTGATTATTTTTTTTTTAATTTTATAAATAAATAAAAAATTGCTGAAATGATAGTTTTATATTTTCTTTCAATTTTGTTTGGTCCAGACGTATTTTATGGGGTATTTTGACGATGTGGCCGTATGGTAGAGAGCTAGACTGCTAACCTGAGAGTCTCGCGTTCGAATCCGGGTTCAAATCAGTGGAACATCCCTGAGTCCACCCAGCTCTGATGGGTACCTACATTACATTAGGGAAACAAAGGCTGCTGGGCATAGTGATAGTGCTGACCACACTATCCCTTCATATGCCGAGGTCTATGAATCAGATGAACTCTACTTCATCTGCCCCATGTGTCTTGGGCACTAACGGCATTAAGAAGAAGACGTATTTTGTATGGCTCAGACGTATATTTTGGGGCCCACTTGAATTGTGTATGTGCCAGACGTATTTATTTCTATGGTAGCTTAGTGTGAATCACAACGGACATGTAGCCTACATTAATTAACATACATAGGGTCAACTTAAAAGACTCCCTGGAAAATCAGTTGGTTTTATTTGTACTCAGACCTTGTGATCAAATCTCTTTATTATGGCACCAAGAGCATAACTTTGTAACCCAGTATTCTACCCTCTTCGTGGTGCCATTTTTTTTCTCACAAAAGAAACAGAAAAACTACATTCAGTCATTTGATACCAAACTTTAAATATTGTTTCTTTAAAACACAACAGCTTATTTTTAAGCGCCTATAAAAATGTAAACTTCTTAAAAAGAAAATCAACTAGATCTAATTCCGTTTATGATATTTACAATATATATTAGGATGTCTAGTCTAGACGTTCAGTGAATACTGTATACGTAACTCGTTAGGATAATAATAATAAAAAAAAGAAACACCTAAAAATTTATTTTAAAAAAGTAATTTATTTTTGACTTGAAGAAAAAAAAAACCAACATAAAATGAAAACCAATTAAAAATTGAAAGCTTGATTGGCAGAAAATGTTAACGTTACAACAGATATAAAAATTTTAACAACAAAAACATGAAAAATGTAAACAACAAATATGAAAAACTTTAACATAAAAAGAAACGAAACAAATTTGGAAATTATTCGTAGTGAAAGCCACAGACACATAAGAGCAGGAGTGACATAAATCAACTAGTCACATTAACTCACACTAATGATGGAATGGATGATGATTTAAATTACAATAAAAACCAAAGCACATCCATATTTTTTTTTCCAGTTTGTTGAAACTAACAATTGAACAGTTATAAAATGTTAATGACAGATCTGGTGTTGTTTAGATTTTAGACAAATTGCTCTTAGTTTATGGCAGTTCAATATTTACAGTCAGATAGCAATTGCTTTTGAAAAAAAAAAATATATTAAAAAGTATACAACACCAGATTAAAAATAACAACAAATAAAAACAATGTTATCATCTAGTGCACAGTGAAAATAAATATATTTCTTGCATAAAACATGTAATCAAAATGCACAGCACAATGACGAGAATGAAATGGATAACATCTACACATTTCTTCTGAATGTAGATTTTTATATGGGAATGTACGTATGAATGAAAGCTTATCAAGTGGACAAAAGGTGAAGTGAAGACAAGGAAAAAAAAAATTGCATTTGCTATAGACATGGCCAAGTGGACATAAACAAAGACAGTGAACAGGCTCTACGTAGCTAGGCACTAAGTTCTCAAATATTCATCAAATCACAAAGCTCAAGCAAAGGGGGAGGGAGTAGTGTGGTGGGGGGGGGGGGGGGGAATTTTCAGTCAATCCAGAGGAAATGGGATTATGGGGGGCGGGGGGGGGGGGGGGGGGTAAATTAAAACAAATTGAAGATGATGATGAAATCAAAACATTGATTACAATTTCTTGAACTCTAGAATATTTTACATTAAAATTTGTGTAGGTCTAGTCCAAATGTCAGGTGCTTGTGGTTAGGGTAGGTCATGTCATGTCAAAAACTATAGTGTTAAAGTAAATTCCGTCAAAGTAACAGTAGCTAGAGGGTTAAAGTTAATGTAGGATTTGTCACAATGTCACATGCTAAGATTAATTTTTAAATTTAACGACCTGGAGTGTCCACTTTTTAAATTTGTACCTAACAAAAAAGTATGGTTACTACGTAACATCAAAAGATTTTGTTTTGCTAAACCATTTCATGCATTCTAATGCCCTAAATTTGACTCAAAGTAGCTTTTCCTATTGTTTAAAAAATGTTTCTTAATTAAGACACCCACTTTTTAATAAATGAGTAGTAACATTATGTAAAAACAATATCCACCAACTGCAATTCTAACTATTCATAATAAATTATATTTGAGTAAACTAATTTATATATATTTACATCTTAATACATTTCTACTACTATCTAACATCTTCATGAATTGACATTAATGTGTTTTTAAAAAATTGGTCATTAATTAAAATTTTATAAAAAATCTGACTAGTATGTCCAGTATATAGCTAAGTTGACAACATACATCAACAAAGCAGCAAAAATTATAACATAATATACACATACAAGTTTTTTTAAACTTTCATATCTACATATAATAGCTGCAGCTGTTTGTTTTTAAAAAAGTAACAAAACATTTAACAAAATGTACAAAGAAAGATTCAGAAATTTACACAATTTTGCTCTTGAAATAACAAAGTAAAAAATATCAATTTTTTCCCCCAATACATGGTAAATGGACAACAAAAGTGCAAAGGTCAGTTTTTAAATGACACTCTATACTCAGAGAGATCTGGACCATGGAAAGAAATCACATGACATTATTGAAATATAGCCAGACCAGCACAACAAGGTCAAAGTTCAAGAATTAAAATACAGAACAACACAAAAATTTCTGGGGTCTAATAGCTCTCTTGATCTACAACAGAAGCTAAGACAACATATGTATGTATATATATATATCCATGTGTGTGTGTGTGTCAAGGTGTAGAGGCAAACATATCGAATCATAAAGAAAGAAAAGTGACGCTAAATAATATGCCAAGCTTTACAGCTACAATTGTTTTTGATATAAAATTGAACTGAATTATCCTGACTGTTTTTATAAGAACCAGGAAAAGCTTGAAAATACTTCAGAAGTACTCATTATAATTGAAAGCAGCAGTACTGATGAAGATATGCAAATAAAATAGTAGATATCTGGCAGGTTTATATATATACACATGCAAACATCTACATAGAGCAAGTATATAGGTACAAATGATAAAAATAAATTTAAAAATTGTTGGCCCAATTAAGATAGACATACAACTCCAAGATATGAAAATAGCATATTGAAAATGTTCAAAACATGTAGTAATCAATTTTATCAACATCCAATACCGACAAAATTATAGACATAAGGCAGGCTAGTTGAAAGATTTTAAATGAAATAGCTCAAAATCTTTTGAAGCATTATTTGTATTTTTTTTTTAATAAAACAAGCATCAATGAGCAAAGTAATTAAATCATGATTGCACATTAATTTAACAAACTCCTAGGTTTTTGTTATTTTCTCCAGTTCAAACTAATTAAATAGTTCCGTGAAATTTTTTTGAAAGCCCCACTGTCGCAGTAGGTTTGTAGTTTTAAAGTCACCAGACAGGACTGTGTTGAATGCTTCTGATGACTTTGAAAGACACAACAGTTATGGCTACTGTAGAAATTGTCTTGAAGGAAAGACTTTGAAATAAAGTATTGAATCAGAGTTTGTGACGACTGCCAGACTGAACAACAGGCACCACGCTATGAATGTAAATCAATAAAATAAACTTAGAAATGTTAGAAAAATGTAGCGAGATTTTTAAATTAACGGTGAAAATGATTAGATTTTAAGCAAACAGACTAACCTTTAAGTTACAAGTAATGAAGTACAAATACATTATATGATACAACTCATTTGTATATGATATTAAAAGCTTGTAAAGAAAAGCCAATTAAAACTTATTGAAGCATTTACATAGACAATTTATGAAAGATTTCAAAATCTAAAAAAAGTTATTTTAAAACAGCCTTCCTTCGTTCCAATATTGCTAAAATTAAAAACCTCTATGTAAATTAAAGTTTATAATTATATAAAATTTAGATTTTTTGGATTAAATACTAATAGAAATGTGTAAAAATAGATTTTTATAAAGAAATTTAGAAATAATTGGCACACAATAAATCAGAGATCAAATAATTAAAAAATATAATGTCTTCAATGAGAAGAGATCTGATGAACGCGGGTGACAAAACAGTTTACTAGTCAGCTGAGATCTGAACCTATACCGAAGATGAAATTCAGAGTTCAGAATCCAAACAAACCTACTAAATAAAAAAATGGAGTCTTTAAAACCATTTTCATTCAATGAATTCAAGAAGCATAAAAAAATCAATAAAATATTTGAAATAAAAAGTTATTTTGCTAAGGATAAAACTTTGTACCATAGTGTAAACAGAGGTTGAAATATAAAACAAGTGTTTTCATCTATTTAGAAATGTTACACAAATATTTTCATCTTTTTTAGGAATATAATTTTCATCCTCTACAGAGTGTTTCACAAATATTTTCATTCATTAATTCATATTTAGAGTGATGGCATTCATACACAAAAAAAATTTAATAATTATTACACAGGTATTTTCATTCTTGTAGGGTAGTACACAGGTATTTTCATCCTTTAGATAAGGTTGTAGTACACTATCTGCTCCTGGTGACACAGTGTATGGACAGTTTGTACATTCACATGTATTACAAGTCTACACATTACTAGCTAGATAAATACACAAGCATGATGAGCATTTGACTTTTTAAAGCTGTTGAGAGACTTGGCTAAAAATATAAATAGAAACTATCTACACGGATGATACAATACTGCTGGTAACATTTCTATAAGCAGGAATTTGAGCCAGGGGATGCAAGTTTTAGATTAAATTACTTCCCCTTGTAAAACTTAAGTGCATTTCAAAATGCTGCCAAGTTTAAATGATGTACACATTTCCTCTTGAATTGAAACATACATTATATAATTCAATGTTTATTAATAAAAAATTCAATAAAAAGTTACATTTTACAGAAGAAAAAAAACAAAAACAACATAATTACAGTAGTTTAGCATATAAAAAAGTATAATCATATAGAGAAACATTTCTTGTTTCAGTCAGTCAAGTTGTTTACAAGAGAAAAAAAAATAGCAGAAATAAAATATTGAAAGAAATCACAGGATAAAAGTAAGGAAACACAATTCCAATGGAACTTTGTAATTTACATAAGGGATTTGACCCCCTTTGCCCTATATTTTGCGAAAACAATAAATATGGCGTCAAAGTGACGCTGTTAAATATACCCTGTATGGTAGGCAGCTGAAAGGCTGAAGAAAGATAACAAACTGATAGAACAAATGGCTTCTGTTCCATGTAGTGAGAGAAATGTCATTATCTCCTTTAACAGAATAGTTCTAGTAGCTCCAAAAGGCAAAAAACAAAAAATATAAGAAAATAAAATTTAAAGAGTTTCCTGTATCATGTAAGAATAATCCAATCATTTAGACAGACACAGAATTTCTCTTAAAAAGATCAGAAATTGAGTATATATATATATATATATATATATATATATATATATATATATATATATATATATATATATATGGCTTCCCCAGAACCAGGCTGTTCTTACTCCATTTTTCAATTCATTCCAGATTTATACATTTTGTTTGAAATTCACCAATGCAATGATGGTAAAAATATTTGTGGTCATATTATTTCACAAAGTGTTTAATACAAACATTTTAAGGAAAACAAAACTTTAAAGCGTTGTTGTAAATATTATTACAAAAGTGGAATTAGAACAGTCTGGTTCTGCGAAAGAGATATTTGTAAATAATTTTTAAAATATTTAATCGGTTTTTGATAGATCAGGTAAAGATTTCAGCTAGGAAAAAAAAAAATTGCATTCTAAAGCCATTGAAGCAAGCATTGAAAAAAAGATATCTAGTGCGTTATATAATTCTTGTAATTCTTGAGCTTCTTAAACTGGTGGCGTATTTCATAAATAAAGTCCGAGGGTTGAACCACGATGGAGATCTCCCTGCCTACAGCTGACAGACGGAGGTCAATCTGCAGGGAAAAAAATGTCAGGTTGCTCGTAAGTAACTGTAAAAATATACCTTAGATCTTAAATATATTCAAATAAAATAAAATATTTATATTTATTAAAGTAGTTTTTTTCAGTGAACATAAAAAACAACAGTGTCATACAGCATTTACTAAGAAAAGGAACTCATAGAAACTATTCTTTCATTTCACTGATAATAATATGCTGAGTGTTCATCTATCCACATTAAAATTAGTCATAACTTAATAATTCAATTATACTTGACAAATCTAAATGAACTCAAACTGTAACGTTAAAAAAAAAACAACCAAGGATTTGTGTCAACTTACTTCACAATCCTTAAAAAACAGACTGAGTGGCCTATTGTTGATTTCTGTGATGAACCAGTTGCACCGCTTGACACCGTAAGCACTTGGTGCGTACTGGGTGAGGCCATGCTGAGCTGCCAGACCATTAGGGTCTACATAGATAATCTAGGGATAAAAATAAGGATTCATTTTAATATTTGGCTAAATAATGAAACAAAGTTGTAATTTTAAAAGATTTAACTTTAAGTGCTTAACTGTAAAATGAACATTACATATGAAATATGCTCAAATAAAATCTGTAAAAATTCATCAAATGACATATTAATACACCCTTAATAACTATTTGTTATAAAATATTAATTATAAATTAAAACAGATTAAGTAGAACTGAGAAGCCTTGATGACCAAGTATTTAGCTAGTACTAGTTAACTGGGCTGACATACCTCACCAGTGCCTCCATTTCTCTTTAACCCCAAGCTCTGCCCCTCCACACTGCGATGGATGGCAAACACCTTGGCATAGGGCATCCTGTGCAGCATGATCTCAGTCTTGGAGGCTGAGGCATTCGGCTGCCGCAGCAGTTTCTGGGCCATCTCCACGGAGGTGACCCTGACATTGTTGACACTGAACACCAGGTCACCCACGTGAAGCTTCCCATGCAGGCTGGGGAAATCTTTCTGGTTCCATCCAGCAATGCTGTGTGGGAGATTCAAGAGGATGAAGTTACACAAGTAAGTGTTTATTGACGACAATGGCATTTTCATGTAGTTTATTCTCTTCAAAATAAATCTTTGCGAGATTCAAGAAGATGGAGTTACACAACTAAGTGTTTATTAAAGACAATGCCATTTTTAAGTATTCAATTACATCTTTGGAAAATTCAAATAGATAATTTCATACAACTAAACTTTTGAAAGATTTGAAGTAGATAATTCATATTTAAGTAGATAATTCTATAAAACTAAATATTTACAATTTTCAAGTAGATAAATGTATACAAACTAATCTTTGAAAGATTCATGTAGATAAGTCTAAATAACTAGTAAATGTTAGGGTGCTGAAGACAACCATAATAAAACTAATGATACTTAAATGCATTAAAGATTCAAACAGCTTTACAAATTCAAAACTTATAAGAAAAAAAAAAAGAAAAAATTAGAACTAGTTATATAATTATTTTAAATTAAAAAAAAATGTGGAAATTGGAAGTAGATGTTTAGTTATTCTTATGAAAATGTTACAAATATTTTTTAAAGTGATTTTATGGCTTATGGAGAAAAAAATTACTAATTCTAGGAAATTGATTTTCTGCTCAAGTAGGGTTACAGCAATTACTCACCATGGGAAGTTGTTCCACTCCACCAAAGCCAGGCCGAAGCAGGACTTGTGAGTGAGCTGCACGGTGACGCTGGGCTGGTTGATCTCCGTCTGCAGGATCTCGACCTGGGTCTGTTTGAGGGAGACCACGGTGTGCAGGCTGTGGGACCTGTCAATCAGCATCTTCTGCGACAGGCCGGACAGGTTACTGCTGGTCACTGGTGAACAAAAAGGTGACACTTTTTACTCAGGGTGTGAACCAAAGGTGACACTTTTTACTTGGGGTGGGATAATTAGCAGGGTAGGAGAAGAGTGGATCTGTTTCTATACCCCCCACCTCCTGCACTAAAATGAATTGTATGGTCACTACTACACAAACCCGCTGCCATTAATTCCCAAACTTAAGTCAGGTACACATTTCATCTGTGCAAACTACTACTATTTTAGCTGAGGTGAATCTTTTAAGAATAGTTTGTATTAAAGATTTAAATTCTAGTTTATGGGTATTCAAGTATCAGCCCAAACACACTGTCTAATAACTCTTTCAAAACAAGAATCACAAACTAACTTAAAATATGAGCTGTTTAATTTATATCACAAGGCATAAGATATGATTAATTGCAGATTAGCACAAGCATCTAATTAAACTTGACTTAAACTCTACTGCTCTGTGGTCTTTCCAGTAATAATAACCAAAGAATACCCCATTTCATCTTGACTATAATTTGATCTAGACAAATTCCAGCAAAGTTATAGCATAAAATATGCAAGTTTAAAGACTGTTTCAAAATGATAAAACTGAGTAATAAAAATTGTGCAACAAAATGTAGTTTACACATGGTGATCAATTAGATTTTTAAAAACACAACAGAGATTTTAAGATAATAATTTTCTCTAGACACTATACTTGCTGATGGCAATACTTAATTAATAAATTAGCTAAGCTATGAAAGAAGATAAAAAGATGGAATTATTCAAACTTATTTATTAGCAAGTTTTTTTTAATACAGAAAATAAGAATGATCAATAAAATATTAGACAACCGTCTTGTTAATTAGAAGATGAAATTTGATAGATAATGTGAAATATGATCCATAAAAAAATCATATCTACGCATTTAAATAATTATTATTATCTTCAAGAAAGGGATGACAAACTATGTATTAAATCTAATTGGGAAAAACTCATGTTTTAAATGAAACAGAACATAGGTATGTAACATGCTGAACTTAACACTATAGAAGAAAAAGATTGAATATTTGTATTCAACAGTTAGGAAATAAGGTTTTCAAGTAAGATTAAAAATAATGACAATCATCTATAGGGCAAAGTGAAATTATTTTTGACAAAATGAAAACTTAACGTGGAGTTTACTCTTACCTATATCTTGCAGCTTTGTTTCATCTGAGGTCTCTTCCTTCTTGTGGATGCTATCCTCTGCAGGAGACATATCCAGGGAGTTACTGTGTCCGGTCAGCTGAGGACGCTTGATGTAAAAGCTCTGAGAGTTTCTGGAGGGGAGGGCGGGGGGTTGGCAGTCACTGGGAATACTGTTGCTGTGGTGTAGTGCGGATGATCGTCTTGGCGGCATGGGTGGGCAGTGACTAGCACTGGGTGGGTGGGACTTGCGGAAAGATTCAGACCCCTTTTTACGTGGAAGTGGGAGGGGCGGCGCCACACTCAGGTCGTCTAAGTATTTAGCGTGCTTGGAGGACGTCGACGTCTTTCCTTTGGGGTATGTTTTAAAATCTGAACTGAAGTTCTTTGCTTTTGAGCTTTGTTTTCTCGTCGGGAGGGAGTCGTTGCGGGGCGGGAGAGGTGGGATGGCAGGAATGGGCGGAGCCATTGTGTCTGGTGGCTCAATGTCATCGCACATGGGACCCCAGAAGTTTTCATTCTCGTCCTTGGAGGACTTTGGCCCGGCTGGCTTGTCTGGGTAGGTGAGAGGGAATGCTTTGCTGGTCTTGTCATGAGACTTTGTCTCAGTGTTGTTGTCCTTACACACAGCAGTCTGTATCAACAGTGGGTACTCGTCGTCAATGTCATCAAGGACAAAGTCCCCGTTGTGCTTGAAGCTTTCGGGGACGTTGACGAAAATTTCATTGTCAAAGGGCGACAGGTGATCAGAGCCGTTGGATAACGACCCAGGTGGGGAGTCGCTCTTTTTAGGTAACCCCCGGCGGGGCATCGGCGTCGGTTTTGAAGAAGGGCTGCCAACAAGCATTTCGTTTCTCTCCAAGCCAATGCCAGAATCTGTAAAAATACTCCCAGGCAGCTCGGAGTAACAGTTCTCCACCGAGTTGGAGTCGCTGAATACGTTATCCAAATCTTGGAAACTGGACACTGGAGAGCTATGCCCAGAGTTAGTTGGCGACCCTGACAAACGAGCGACTGTCCGTTTTGGACTTTTGACGGGCGTGGACATGGATTTCAAGAGTCGGATAGGGCTCTGATGAGAGATTTGACTGGAGTCGAAATAAGCGTTGTTTGAGAACCCAGGGTTCTCCTTCAGGTGAGCAGGGGACGACGTGTGCTGCCGCGAGTCATGGGACTCTTCCGGGATTTTATGCTGGGATTTCTCAAAGTTCTTGGCTTTCCGTGCCTCCCGCAGCTGGGCGATAATCTCAGGGGAGACAAAGTCGCTGTCGTTGCTGCTCCCCGTGTCAGGGTGCTGCAGGGGGGAGGAGTGGCTCTCAGATCTCTCCTGCTGTTCTTCAGCTTTCTGTTTAATAGCCCGACCGGGTGTCAGTATGGGTCGTGTTGGTAGCGGGGGCGGCGACTCGGTGAGTATCCTTTGTACAGATGGTTTATGAGTGGACGGGGACGAGGGGGGTTGGACTGACGATACAGACGACTGCCCTGAAGATGACCGCTGGGCTAAGGGTGAGTTTTTAGGTGTAAGACTAGGCCTATCAGAGCGTATATCTGCTGGGCTTAGGAAGCCGAAACCCCCAGGTCCACCGTTGGTGCTTGTCCCTTCAGAAATCTTTACGGCCGTTGCCGAAGTCATAGTTTCTGGTTCCAAGTCATCCTGAAAGTCTTTATTGGGCTTTGATTTTTGTATGACTGCGGGACATATTGAGTAAACGTGATCAACAACTTCTTGCTGGAAATAAAAAATTGAAAAGACAGCATTAAAAATTTGTATAGAAACATTCTTATTTTGATAACATTCTTTATGGTAAAATAAACAAAACGTTCTGAAAAAGCTTCATAGAAATCTCCATGAATGGATTTTTTTAAAAAGTGGTTTAAGTAAATGGTTTACTGGCCATACCTTCAAAACTCCAAGACGAATAAGACTTGCTTCAACCTCGTTAACCCATTCAACCATTTGAGTTCTGGAAATGAAGCATACTTTAATAAAAATGAGTTTTGGGAGAAAAAAAAACCAGTTTAAAAAAAAAAAAATAATAATTATATGAATGGAGTAAGCATTAGCAAGAATACAGTTTAATTAAGAAAATATCACTACGACAGATCTTTTTCTTGACAGCAGAGTCCCACCCTGACTTGAAACCAGATCTGTAACTACTACCCAAATCTAACAAAATACAAACCATCCCACTATTATTAACACAAGCGCCAAAGTCCACCCACCTGGATGATGCGACCAGTTCAATGACCCTATCTGGACACACAATACAAAATGACGGAGGGTTGGTGTTGCCCATAGACTTGACATTGTGGCAACCAGAGAGGTTGAAAGAGTTGATGGGTTGCTGGGAGAAGACGTCCAGCTCACTGTCGTAGTACTCCAGGAAGGGAATGCCTTGTCTAATGGTAAACACAAACCACTTGTTGCTGTCATTTCTCTGAAAGTGGAGAGTATAAAATGGAGGTATTGTCATAGATGGTAGTGTTATACTTGGTACAGTTATAGTCATACAAGGTAGAGTTATAGTCATACATGGTTGAGATATACATACATGGTACACTTATAGTCATACATGGCATAGTTTTAGTATTACAGGGTAGTTAGTCATACATGGTAGAGCTATAGTCATACATGGTAGAGATATACATACATGGTACACTTACAGTCATACATGGCATAGTTTTAGTATTACAGGGTAGTTAGTCATACAAGGTAGAGTTATAGTCATACATGGTACAGTTATAGTCATACAAGGTAGAGTTATAGTCATACATGTTAGAGTTATAGTCATACATGATAGAGATATACATACATGGTACACTTATAGTCATACATGGCATAGTTTTAGTATTACAGGGTAGTTAGTCATACATGGTAGAGTTTTAGTCATACATGGTACAGTTATAGTCATACAAGGTAGGGTCATGTCAAACAAAAGTGATAGGACTAAGGTAGAATTGGCCAACCAATAATGCAGAATGTAGTTCTTATAATTCAGTGGATTAAGAATATGAATTGTATTTAGGTGTATTAAGTTAGTTTGAATTATAAAGTTATATATAGTAAGTTAAGAAGATTTAACAGAATGATAATTAGTCATTCTTCATAATGGGATCCAAAGATATAGTTAGACAACTAAGAATATTGACTATAAAGTTATATACAGTTATTTAGGAAGATGAGACAAACATAGTTTTATATATATATATATATATATATATATATATATATACATATATACAAATATAAATTCAATTTAAAAAACAGAAAGTAGAATATAATGTTCAGCCAATGCAAGGTCAATTTTTAAATAAAGAAATTGTACACTTGTGTTGCTATACAAACTTAAAAGTATTTAAGTAAAAACCCAAAGAAAAACCCAATACAATTGGATTTTCCATACTTCTTGTTTTCTAAAAAAAAAAAGATTGACCATGTACTTACTCTGAAAAATCCTGATATGCGGCTTGATCCTGTGCTCCCTTTCTTCAAATAACCTTGCTTGACCACATTCTCCACTAGATGGGCCATTTTAGTTCTGAGAAAACAAACGATTAAACAGTGAGATATCAGTTGGGGGAGGGGGAGGGAACCCACCAGGTAACATCAAACCTAGCTCCTAGTCCCCATGTCATGTTTAAATACAGTTCCTCATACACATTGTTCAAACATAAAGCAGACAAAAAGAACTGGTTGATTTTAGTTTGATCAAGTGAAAAATTAAAACAGGTTTAACAACTACAGCAAAGACACATTGTATTAAATATAGATTGATATTAATATTTATTAACAGCAAGCAAGGTGGGATGTTTTTTCTATTACATGCCTACCATTGTGCTTTGTTTTTTTTTTGTGATTTATGCTGTTGCTTATAAAGTACTGGAGAAAACCTGAACTGAAGTTCCTTACACTGAACTGCCCTATCAAAAAACCTTATCAACATAGGCTTAAAATGTCAGACCGACACAGCGCTTAGTCAACCGATACATTCCGATTTTTTTGTAACTTCATGCTTTGTTTAATGTTTAAGCAGTTGAAAGAGTGTATACATAACACATACACATATATCCAACACACTGGACTTAGGCCTATATAAAATCAAATAACATACACAGCTGTGGTTTGCACATACCTTGGCATAATCTCTAACGATAGTCCATGACTGGAACCTTAATCCACAAGTAAGTAAAATAGGTACTATGGACCAGTATTAGGAACCATTCACTGTAGCTATTGGTAGGGAATTGACATAGTATATTTATTATTGCACTACACAACGCTATGAAAAAGTCCTACAGCACAGAGATAAACCACACCATAGACTAGGTGTAGATATACAGCTCGCCTCAACACTCGACGAACTCGTCAGGAAACACCGAGCACTATGGCGAGGGTGGGCTCCCCTGAATGACAACTCGAGAGTTATCTATCGCACGTCTGCCATCAACCGGCTGACAACACACTAAGCGTGGAGGAAGTAAATTACAACACACGGGCCGCATGACGTAGCTGGCCAATTGTTTCCCCGCACCCCACTTGGGTAACAGTGAAAGCCCGGGACTTATTGCCTTCTCTGTGTACTTTTACAACGTGTGGCTTATGGCCCTTGGGGTTGAGTTATAGCCCTTGGGTACGTACGAGTAGACACCGGATAGATATTTAACCCAAAAGAAATGGAAAACGAAAAATCCGAATACTTTCTTGTTCAGGGTTACTGACACTCTTTCAAAAGATAAAGTCTAACTACAGATACTTTTTACTTTGTAATACAATAACACGTCCAATAACAAATAAATAGATCTTACTTTTAAGAAATATAAAGGCCTACTTAAAAAAAAATTAAAACGGACCATTTGTGCACATTAACAGACCATGGTGATACGGTGTGATCGGATGGTAGAGCGCACGACTACTAACCCAAAAGTCTCGACTTCAGATCCCGAACCCGAGTCTGTATGAGTTCACCCATCTCTTATTTGTACGTGAGCAGCATTAGGGAAAAGAAGATAAGGTAGCTGGACACAGATAGCGGTCACCACACTTTCCTTCTGTATACTGAGGGCACTGAAACAGATAAACTCTACTTCATCTACCCCGTGTCTTGGCCAAGACCGGGAAAAGATGAAAAACTGACAGGGGCACGATGAACTGACAATGACATACCCGAGCTCAAATACTTCTCAGTACGGACAGTCCTAGAGTCAGGAGCAGTATGGAAAATATGGCAGCATTCTATCATTAGCCGTAATGAGTAGCACATGTACCACATACTGACTCTAGCAGACATCATATCACATATGTGTTAAGGTAATATGAATGTACACATATTGAAAGAAAAAGAAGTATTGTGGTGGGGGAAAAAACAATTGGTAGATCAATGCAGAATCTTTTCGTATTTTTATCTCTCCATTGCCGGTTAGTGCCAGGGATAGGTTGTGTCAATTAATGGACTTGAGCCAGGTTTATGATAATTTATGGTAAAGATAATAACAATAGATTTGATGTAACCAACTGGTTTTTATTTTATAATTACGTAATCACAGACCGGTCTGTCTATAGGTGAAAATTACAAGCAGCTTATCGACGTTTTTATGTCTACAAATTGGGGGAGGTAAGGACAGAACGTAAGTATCCGTGCGCTCTACCATTCGACCACGCCCGCTCCCGTATAATGAAAAACATCTCTAATTTCCCAGAAGACGCGACCTTTTTATAAAACCAGACGGCCAGACAGCTAAATGATGACATCATTCCCTAGTCATGCAGCTAAAAGTTGACCGTATCCACTAGCAAACAAGATCAGACCAGCTAAATGATGACATCATTCCCTAGTCATGAAGCTAAAAGTTGACCGTATCCACTAGCAAACAAGATCAGACCAGCTAAATGATGACATCATTCCCTAGTCATGAAGCTAAAAGTTGACCGTATCCACTAGCAAACAAGATCAGACCAGCTAAACCATGATCGCTTCCACCATGCTTACAGCTAAACCACAACCTAACCCATTGAGCAAGTAGCTAAACATGACCTCTACCACCAAGCATACAGCTGCACAATGATCTCTTACATCAAGCTTACAGCTACACCAAGCATACAGCTAAACTGATCTCACACCAAGCATACAGCTAGACTATGACTTCTTACATCAAGCAAACAGCTACACCAAGCATACAGCTAAATTATGACCTCCTCCACCAAGCATACAGTTCAACTATGACCCCTTCCAAACATGGAGCTAAGCCATGATCCCTTCCACCAAACATACCTACATTATAACATACCCCATTCTCCCGATTTATACACACTGACCCATTTCGTGACAGTCTCTTCAATAGCCAGCTATAATTAGATCTACTCGGCGCTTTTAACCGTCAGACAACCAGTGGTTCCCCCGCATCACATGTGACCAGATGTGACACAATAACCACGTGATAACCACCACACATCTGTTGGAAACAGCAAAACCGCCTCACACCAGCATCCATATAACAACCGTACCATTAAAAAACCAAAGACCATCCCCTAACCTAAACACAAACACCTAAAACGAGCTGAGGCGAACTTAAACACAACGAGAACCGGTGATAGAGTTGGCCATTGTGTGGATGAGTCGACAAGTGGTGCTGGGTTGTGTTTTGTGCTAGTCAAGTGGCACATGTCACGTGTGTTCTAGTATTGTGAATAAAATACGTCCCTGCCTAACACTAGATCAATGGTGATTGACACCACGTTTTGAAGGCGCCACGTTTTTTAAATACGTAACATGTTTACACTCCATACATGCAAACCAATCGATTTGTATTACGATTTGAATGCTAACAGGATTACACTTATAAAAATATCAATTAAAAAACAGATAAATAACACGGGTGACAACTTATCGTTATGGAATAATACTATCCGCTATGGGACATGGTTTCAGCTTTATAGTTATACACATATATTTTTTTAACTTTTAAACCAATTCTATTTACCTCCCCTGGTCCAAACGTGCTAGTTAAATTAATGGTATCAACTAAAGGGAAGCAACCCTTCTGTGTTGCAACTGTCCCACAGAGATCAGATGACGATTTTCGGGGATTACCTCCCTATTAACGCGCCGTTACACAAATAGTTGTGCAATTTCACCCCCCCCACGCCTAATAAACATATATTATAGGTTTACAACCCCAACCCCCATATTCTTAAGATATTCTAGGGTTCCCCCAACCTCATATTATGAACACATATATAGGATTACATGATACAAGACAGTCGCATTCAAACCATCAACATTATATGACGTGGTTAAAAAACGAACAGGAACAAGCATCTAATAATATCCGACGTGATTAAATAAAAAACAGGAACAAGCATCTAATAAGCTTAACGTTAATACCTGTTACATAATACAGTGGTGTGGTGGATTATGGGAAACCTCTGCGGACTGAACTCGATGTCATCCATTACCATTCTCATACACATAGAAATGACCCAAAATGCTTGGACACCCTATGAAAGGAGTTAATGTTCCTATCGATCTGAATTACTCACCTAGCCAATTACAAGATTAAGGCTAGGCTTGGGGATGGTGCTAGTGTAGCGCCAAGGTATACACGCAGACAATGTTAGTTAGCTACAACTAGGTAGTCCAAACTGAAATTAACTATTGATTGCAGACTTCTGGAGTGAGTATGTCATGAAAGAACTTTTAATTGTAAGGTCTATGCCACAAATTTTATAAAAATATCTCAATAAATAAAAAAGTTATGCGATTTTTAAAAAAGCAAAATTTGGTAAAAAACTGATTTTCAAAAAGTGCCATTTTTGAGAACCCATATTTTTTAAACTAAATAACATAGAAGTGTGGAAATAGGTAAAGTTGCTGCAAAGTTTGTAATATATATGCCCAATTTTTTTCAGTCATCTAAAATGAGTCTTTCTAAGGTAAAAAAATAATTGAAAATGACAAAAATGCGTTTTGGTCACTTTTATTTTCATAAAAAAAAAAATTCAATTTTTTTTTTTTTTTGCTTTGGAATAACTCTAAAATTATTGTGTTGGTAACATCGACGTGGAAAAATGTGTTAATTATTTTCAAAAATCACATGAGTTAAAATATTATTTTAAAAAATACCACAGTTATCTAGTGCAGGAGAAACAGAATCAAAATTTAGTAGAGTAAATGTAATGTAATGTAATTTAATAAAGACGTGATGCCTACAAGTGATGCAGCAGTTGATGCCACATGCTTTGGTTTCTTTTCAAACCTGATAACTGCTTTGGGGGAACAGTTTTGGGGGAACATCTTTGTACGTCTTGTTTCCCTCAACCTTGATCTTGTGGAGCATCAAGAGTAAGTAATATGTTTTGGGAATTGTAGGGGGGAGGGGGGGAGTGGGGTCTTGGCCTTCTTCCCTTCCCTTGTAAGGAAAGTTCTGGATAGGCCACCGTAAATGTCTCCAGCTATGGAACGAACAATTGATTTAGTGATTAATAAAATATAATTAAATTTACTACTAGCCTATTGTGTAGGCCTACTATTTGTCCTATGAC